CTCATTGACATACATTGCATATTGAGTATGACATAGACATTGCAATGGTGCACTACATTACATTTGCACGGGGAATACGCATCCATGGCCATGGGTATGAGTGTGTGTGTGCATGATTGGATTAATCACCATACTTGGTGTTTGATGGGTAGCCTCGGGAAAGTGGGGTTGAATATCCTACTGAGTCGTACGGTTGCATATGTGAAAAATTTGTGTCGGGTATAGCAAGAAGGGCTAGATGCTCCTTCGGGTGAAAGGTCCGGCTACTTGGTTCATACACTTTCCTGTTGTGAAATTTCAGAAAAGTATAATGGCGTACGGAGCCAGTTGGTATGATTCCAGAATTCGATACCCAACAAAGACACATAATTTTGTAATACAAAGATTTCATTTGATGAGAAACATCTATGAATGAAGTGGTTTTATAAATATATAGTTGGTGTTTCAAAAATGATCATTGGATGTATTTCATCAATGATAAAGGTTTTACACTTGCATTGCATAGTGTGGTAAGAGCCGGTGAAGGCTCGGGTTGATGTGCGTGAGTGAGTCTCATCTCATTCATGACATGATAGATTTCAACATGAATTGTATATTCTTGCATTGAAATGAATATTGGTTATGTGTTGTTGCAAGTATACATTCATATGCACTTAGGTGGGAAGTAACCACTGTAGGAAAATATTCTACTATGCGTTGGCTCACCCTATACGGGAACACATTTCAGGTATGAGGCATATTCCGGTGGATGACACACATTCGGGACCTCGAGAATGAAGAAAAGCCGATTTGTGGCTTTTGAAAATAAGTTTTGTATAAAAACTTAGGTTTAATTCCGTTTTGACATGTAAATGTATGGAATGAGTTATAATAGACTTGGATGAATCATGTATAATGTAGAAAATATCTTTTATACATGTGTTGGGATGAATTTAGAAAGGTTGGGATTGAATTGAAAATCAAAAACAGATAAAATAGAAAAAAATGGGCTCAGCGTACCGAAATGGTGAGGTCCAAAGGACACAGCGTACCGGTACGGTGAGGTCCAGTGAGCCAGACGTACCGATACACTTTGGCAGATTTTGATTTTGATTTTTTTTTCTTCTAGAGTCTTGGGCTATGCATCCTTTAGTTCCAATGATACAAATGGATCTTAAATGAGATATATTGAGGTACATAGAACCTCAATATGATTAAATAACTAATGAGACACGGGTGTTATGTGTGAGTTTGAAATTCTGGTAATGAGATAATATTAGCATGATGTTGGATTCAACGGCATTCACGGGCATTTTCGCGGGTTAACGGATGGTCACGGGACCCCTGATTTTAGGGGCGTTACATTATCGTCTAAAAACACTCATCGTCGTCCACAACCATCATCGTCACCGCCCACCATAACCGTCGTCGTCCACCACTACCACCATCATTACTCGAGGTTGTCACTACTATCATCATCACCTAAAATTCATCACTACCGTCATTACTTGCGGTTGTCAATACCATCATCATCACCTAAAATCCACCACCACCATCATCGTTGTCACCCACGGCTGCCATTATCACTATAGTTGTCGCCATTTACCACAATCATCATCGTTTTTCGTCATCACCACTGTCGCCCACCCCCACTATAATTGGTGTTTAAATTTTTTTATATCTCTTTTTATGTTTATTATTTGATTTTGAGTCTGAATACAAATATATTTATTGTTAAACATTTTTTTTTATTATTCTGTGCCTTCAGACACGAGGAATAATTAGTTAATTAATATTATAGACTTAAACATAACACAATACAATTAAATTGAAGATAAGATTATGAGACTGCGAATATATCGTTCTAACAATTAAATTGGATTTGAATAATTTGTAACTATTGATTAAAAATAATATAATATATAATATATAATATTAAAGTTATAAAATTAAAATTTTAACTTATTAAAAAAATGGTAAAAATTGATCTAATTTTTATTCACTTTGATCGGATAGTACAAAATTTATTTATTTATTTTTGGTATAAAATTTATTTCAAAAACATTTTTTCACTAAAAAACATCAACACTCTCCAATATTAAATAATTCTATTAATTCACTTTTACTTTCCTCTTCTCCGTCGCCTACCTATCTTTTATTTTTTGTGTATTCACTTGAATTTTAAATTACGTAATTAAAAAAATAAATTATTATTTAAAATATAAATATTATATGATTAATATTCAATTTGTTATATTATAGAGTACTAGTCATTACCCGTGCCTGAAGGCACTATACAACAAACAAAAAATTTTAAACAATTATCCAAATTCAAAAGAAATGACCTAAAAATATTCATATTAATTATTTTTTTAAAATGACTCAAAATATATGTTCGATTATTTCCTCCATATTAATGGAACAATCATAAAAATATATAAAAACTTCCCAAAATAACACTATATATACAAATGCCTCTGAAAAAAAAAAATTAAATACTAATCCATTGAAATTTATAATTTTTAAGTAATAAATAAAATCTTGTTCGTTTATAAGACTAAAAAATTTATTACCTCTACTATCACTCAATTCAATAACACAATATAATTACAAAGTCAACCACCATATTTTCAATCCACTTTATTCCCATGTAATACATAACTTAAGCAAAAAAAAAAAAAAACTAACAAAACATAGTGATAAATAAAATCAACCAAATCATGCTTATTTATAAAACTCAAGAATTTATCACATGTATTACCATTTAACCTTAAAATAACACAATATAATTATAAATTTGATCACCAATTGTCCAATCCTCCACATATAAATATATAAAGAAACGCATCCACACACATTTCTTTTTGATTACTAATAAACCTTCGTAACCGATAATTTTTTTTATTAGAAATACAATACTTTAAGTTTTTAAGATAAAATAATAATAAATTAATGTTTAATTAAAAAATAGTGTAAAAATCATGGACATCTCCTAAATTTTGACAATATTATACGGATATTTTCTGACGTTTTATAAATAACATGAAGACCCCTGAAGTTTGAAATTCATTACACATAAACCTTTTCTGTCTCTCTTCTGTCAATGTTGCTAACAAAAATTGATACTTTCATCATAAAAAAATTTATTATTTTTACAATTACCCTTCTTCAAATTTAGTACCAAAAATTTAATAAAATCAAATAAAATTTAATTTAATAGCCAAAAAAAATAATATAATTTAGGACTCCAAAAAAATTGATTAAATGAATTTCAATATTTAATTTGGTAACAATAAAAATTAATTTGATATTAATTCGACAGAGTTGAATATAAATTAGATAAAGTTAAATGTCAATTTTTGATAAAATTATATATTAATTTACAAATTAAGGTTATTTCGTGTTGAATATTATTTGGTATTTATAATCAATGTGCTATTTTTTATTTACATTAAATATTATTTACAAATTAAGAAGTAAGTGACAAAATACATATCATTGGATATATAAAAACTTTAAATTAGTTTTATGGGATAAATAATTGTACAGGAGAAACAAAAAAAGAATGAGAGAGAGAGTTATATGAGAGATGAAAATATTAAAGTTGTAAAGAGAATAAAAGTTCAATTAGAACCATTAGATCAAATGATCTGAGTCGCGAAAAGATCAAGACATTAGATATATTTTAAAAATAATCCTTGTTATTAGAGTTTTAATAAATATTAGATATATTTTATTATTATTAGATATATATAATTGTCCAAGTCAATCTCTCCGATTGTTTGAATGAGGACGAGAAGAAAGAGTTTGAATGAGACATATAAACGAGGATGAGGAGAGAGAGTTTGAATGAGGATGAAGAGTAAATAAAATGAATGTAGTAGAGTCTTGTAGAAAGTAAATTAATTAGGATTGTCGGATTAATAATACTGAATCGACTTGAGCTGCGAAAAATTCAAGATAAACTAAACTAGTTATTTTATTATAAAGATGTTCATGTAGGGGGTTATNAAAATTCAAGATAAACTAAACTAGTTATTTTATTGTATAAATATTCATGTACGGGGTTGTTATTAATAATTTTATACATAAGGTAATAATTTTAATAAAAAAGTTAAAAATATAGGACGAAAAAATGATGTTTTGATACCGGGACCCATATATTGACACGCGTACATAACACAGAAAGTGCCGCATTTTATGTAGCCGGCCGGAGTTGGCCTGCAATTGGACACATAGTTGTCTCAGACTCAGTAAAACAAACAGCTGTACACGTGTCTACCTTAGATTAGAAACTCCGCCAAAAAAACCAACACAAACAACAAATAATGTGATCCATATAGACCTTTCCTTTTATTGCCAAAAAAACAATAGACATTTCCTTTGCTTTAACTTTAAAGTGAGATTATGGGTAAAATTAAAGGTGGAAAGTGTAATACTTGCAAGTCTATAGTCTTTGTTGACCTGTCGCTGAGTGTAAGATTGCTACGGTACGACAAATACAAAATAAAAAAAGGATGGCTAGGATCGATGTTAGACATTGAACAATGTGCGACCCTTTCAAGAAGCCCACATAGTCCAGAGCCCATGCAATCTATTCCTTTCGGTCTTTATATGATTTTCCTTTTGGCCTTTTATATAGCTACCTTTTCTATTGCTTGCCATGCCTGCTTTGGCTAAATCCATAGCGACTGACGATAGCCGTCGATGTTAAAATATTAATGTGCTTGAATACGCGGACGAAGAGGACGAAGAGGTTTGAATACGCGGTTAAATAATGGGATGGTGTCCATTTAGGGCCCAATCGTTCCGTAGAAGTGGAAATTCTTCATTGGATCTACAGATCTGGGTAGGCCCAATCAGTGGTGATCATTCTATAGAGTCTCCACAGGACCACATCAACTTTCCATTTTTGTTTCTTGAAGGATGGGCCTTTGTATTACAACCCAGATACACTTCACTTAAGCCTGTGTTGGGCCGCTCGGTCCAATTAAAGCTCCTGCGTGTTTTGGTACAACAACGTGTTCACCTCCACACCTGAGGTTTTGAGGACCGGACTGAACCTCTTCCTCACCTTTGCAAAGAGTGTTCCTCTTCGTCCAAAATCTGATAAAGCAGATTTGCTAATTCATCAAAGTTCGCTTCGCCTGGAGAATTTTCATGGTACGCATTCTGTATTGATACTTTCGATTACTTGTTTGTCGTAGGTTTTTGTAATAAAGTTTGATGACAAATTTCCTGGTTAGATCTAGTTGGATTAATCCGAGTTTGTAGAAAGATCTAACACAANTACTTTCGATTACTTGTTTGTCGTAGGTTTTTGTAATAAAGTTTGATGACAAATTTACTGGTTAGATCTAGTTGGATTAATCCGAGTTTGTAGAAAGATCTAACACAATATATATATATATATTTGTGTGTTTTTGGCACATTTTAATTCAGAACATCCAACCTAGGTATCGATCGATTGTAACCTAAGACACTAGTTATAAGTAACTATGTTGAGTTTGTTTTGTTTTCCATTTCTGTCTTTACACCTATTGTTGCAAGATCGAACCTTATAGATGCCGATTATGAGTATTTTGTTTCATCCTCTTCCTATCGATCGGAGACTTTGTATCTGATCATGGTTAGGCAACTCGGACGCAAGCAAGGTCTAGTTGGCTGGATTTTGTTCAGACAAGTGAAACAGGATCCTAAACTGATTCCAATAGAACCGTATAGCTCATCTAGGCTTTGGTGAAGGGAGCTGATATTGTGGGAATTAAGATTGTGAAAAACAAATCAATTGAAAATTTGAACCAAAATTTTCCCCATTCCATTTTCTTGGATGTGATTCTACACTCCAGAATGCAGTGTAATTCGGTATTGATTTGATGATTTTGGTTATTGAACAGACAGAATTAAGGATGTAAAAGCTTGTATGCATGGATATACTAGTGGTTTTTGTAAAGTGATTGATGTAATTTACATTCTAAAGCCACTAAAATTATGAGGATTTTGGTACTTATTTCTTGGTATCAGTAATTATACTCCCTTTTTGGAAAACAAGAGACTGTAAAAATTTATGACATAAGTTTGGTGCCTGCATAGATTTAAGTTTATAATTTTTATCTTGATATTTTAGTTTGAAAAATGATGTGAAAGAGCAGTTGTTTGCAACTTGAGCCTGGCTTGTTTTAAAAAGATGAGAAATGTCATGGTGCACTGGCTTCGTGCTCAATTTTTAGTTTTTCCACGGGATAAGTGGTTCCTTGGAGTTTCGGTAATTTTTAGGCTGATCAAGCAAATAGTGGTTATGAAACCCTTTTAACACTGTTTTCCAATTTTTGTGGGATTTCTTTTGCTGATTGCATCTGCAATTACTTATTAGACCATTGCATCTAGTTAGTCAAGAATCCATCTATTTCGGTCTTAATCTGAAGAAATATTCCTGCTGCTGCTTGACCTTCCAATTTTACCACTGTCTGGTCCTTGTAATCCGATGGCATCTTCGCCATGTTTTGTGGTCAAATCCTATTGAGTTTTCATCTTTTCACCAAGGAGGTGATACCTTGCAGTAGGGTGTCTTATTGGTTGCTTAGCCTCTCCAGCTTTCCTAATCCAAAGACCTAGATTATTAATTATTGAAATGTGTGTTAATGGTGGTCTTTGTCCCAAATCCTTGATTTCTGGAAGCTTTTTTTTCCTCTATTTTTTTGGGTGAGGGGATTTTGTGGTGGGGCTGGGTGGCTGGGGTTCTGTTAGAAGTTATTTTTTAAACCTCTTATGCAATGCATGCATAGATGATAATGTACGTGTGTCAAAGGGCACCTTTGCGATATTGACTATGAGTCTAACTCTGACTCTGATTTTACACTACAATTTTTTGATAGGCACCCATCAAGGGCATTATTTCTCTCCAAAGGAGCATTTTTGCTCGGCATCATAGTGAGAGGTGGGGCCTAGGCAGTAGATTATTCAGCACTCAAGCAGCAACAACTGCTACCACTCCACAGCCTCCACCACCTCCCCCACCTCCGGAGAAAACACACTTCGGTGGCCTGGANGGCATCATAGTGAGAGGTGGGGCCTAGGCAGTAGATTATTCAGCACTCAAGCAGCAGCAACTGCTACCACTCCACAGCCTCCACCACCTCCCCCACCTCCGGAGAAAACCCACTTCGGTGGCCTGAAGGATGAAGATCGTATTTTCACGAATGTGTATGGGATGCATGACCCCTTTCTGAAAGGTGCCATGAAACGAGGTGACTGGTATAGAACTAAAGACCTTGTACTCAAAGGTGCTGATTGGATTGTCAATGAGATGAAGAAGTCTGGCCTTCGTGGACGTGGAGGAGCTGGTTTTCCATCTGGCCTCAAATGGTCCTTCATGCCAAAGGTATCTGATGGCCGTCCTTCCTATCTTGTTGTCAATGCTGATGAAAGTGAACCTGGAACCTGTAAGGATAGGGAAATTATGCGGCATGATCCACACAAGCTATTAGAGGGCTGCCTGATTGCTGGGGTGGGAATGAGGGCTAGCGCTGCATATATCTACATCAGGGGTGAATATGTGAATGAACGAAAGAACCTTGAGAAAGCTAGGAAAGAAGCTTATGAAGCTGGATTCTTAGGGAAGAATGCGTGTGGATCTGGATATGATTTTGATTTACATATCCACTATGGTGCTGGTGCTTATATTTGTGGTGAAGAGACTGCACTATTGGAGAGCCTCGAGGGAAAACAAGGAAAGCCTAGATTGAAGCCTCCTTTTCCAGCTAATGCAGGGCTATACGGTTGTCCTACGACTGTTACAAATGTGGAAACAGTAGCTGTTTCTCCCACCATTTTAAGGCGTGGCCCAGAGTGGTTTGCTAGCTTTGGCAGGAAAAACAATTCGGGGACAAAATTATTTTGCATATCAGGTCATGTGAACAAGCCTTGCACCGTTGAAGAGGAGATGAGTATACCTCTGAAGGAGTTGCTAGAGAGGCACTGTGGTGGTGTTAGAGGTGGATGGGACAATTTACTTGCAGTGATTCCTGGGGGTTCATCTGTTCCTTTACTTCCCAAGCACTTATGTGAGGATGTCCTAATGGATTTTGATGCGCTCAAGGCTGTCCAATCTGGATTGGGGACTGCAGCTGTGATTGTAATGGACAAGTCAACTGACGTTGTGGATGCAATTGCAAGGCTTTCTTACTTCTACAAGCATGAGAGTTGTGGTCAGTGTACACCTTGCAGAGAAGGTACAGGATGGCTTTGGATGATCATGGAAAGATTGAAGGTTGGGGATGCAAAATTGGAGGAAATCGACATGCTTCAGGAGGTGACAAAGCAGATTGAAGGGCACACAATCTGTGCGTTGGGTGATGCTGCTGCTTGGCCTGTCCAGGGTCTTATCAGGCACTTTAGACCGGAGCTTGAGAGGAGAATAAGGGAACGTGCAGAGAGGGAGTTACAAGAGGCTGCTGCGGCTTGAATCTTCTACTCAGGTTGGTTCTTAAATTCGTTTTCTGTTCTCCCTGTTCCTTTTTTTTCACCCCCAAGGATGTTGGGCTGTCCCTTGTACTGGAGAAAGTCTCTTTTCTGTAGTTTAATGAGTATATTGCCCTCAACTAATTAGCTGTTTTCATCAAATACCTTTAAGATATTGTCCTAATGGAAGGGGTTCAGTTGTTTGCTTGGTCATTCGTTCCCGTACTGCTAGACAAAACAGTCAATGGTTTTAATTGTTAAAAAATCACAAAACCATTCAAAATGAAGTGGCGGGAGTAGCCCATATGTCATCTCTTCATAGAGCAACTCATATTCTGGCTGCTAAATGTCATCAGTTGTTTACATATAGCTTCACCCCTTGCATCTTAAACATGTGAGGTGTAATGGCTTTTGTAGCTATGATCGTTTGAGTCGTCCTCTTTCTTTGTGAAAACTGTGCAGCTCCTCTGGAAGACCTGATCACTGCTATCAATTGTCTTTTATGGAGTCAGGTTGTTTCATTGTTCATGCTATTGAAAATTGAGTGTACTAGCGAAAATTTCTGATGGTGGGTACCTCAAAAATGCAAAATGCTAAGCATTTGTACTCTTGCCAAATTATATCTTGGGGAAAAATGGTTTAATTGCTTGATTGTAGGCTAAAATAACTACCATTGTTCTGCATTTTTTATCTCGAAGGAAATGTCTATAATACTTGTATAAGTAGACCTCATTGTTAGGAAGAGTCTGAGATTGAAATGAGGAGTTGTCAACGACTTGTGGTTGGCTTAGTTAATCTACCAATTACTCTTTTATGATAACTATTGCGTTGGTCTTTGTTATGTAGGGACAAGACTTTGCTGCTGGATACAATGAAATAAACATGTAGAAAGTACTCAAACAATCCGAGATGAGAGATGATTTGGGATGCTGGCTGTTCTAATGAGCAGCATCTTTATTTTATATGCTTGTTCCCATTGTGACTATAATGGAGATGCTATTATACCACCTTCATGTCTGACCAGAGCAATTCATGTTGTTTCATGTATTTGGGGACATAAAGTTTATCTGTTTTGTATTTTGGAAATTCAAGGAACCCTGATTTGTCAATAAAAGCAGAACTCATGGATTTGGACGAAATTTTCGTGCAAGGGTAAACCCTGGAGCATCCCAGGTCACCAATTTTATCATGCTCTTGAGTGATGCATCTCTATATTAACTGTTTGTGACTATTTCTAATATGAGACTTCCNCTTCATGTCTGACCAGAGCAATTCATGTTGTTTCATGTATTTGGGGACATAAAGTTTATCTGTTTTGTATTTTGGAAATTCAAGGAACCCTGATTTGTCAATAAAAGCAGAACTCATGGATTTGGACAAAATTTTCGTGCAAGGGTAAACCCTGGAGCATCCCAGGTCACCAATTTTATCATGCTCTTGAGTGATGCATCTCTATATTAAATGTTTGTGACTATTTCTAATATGAGACTTCCCGAAAAAAAGACATTTACTAATAAGATTAGAAAAAATAAATGTAGGCAATGTCATTTTATATATTCTGAAGAACCTTGCTTTTAAAGAGTGATATCACTAGAAACGAATGGCTGTCATCCGTTCTTTATATTGTCCAGCCAGTTACTTGGTTGGCTTCTAGGAGACTATGTATGTATATTGTAAAGCCTTTTTTGCATAAGACGTATGTTTTAAGGTCTTTTATGAGTAAGATTATTCGTGGCTTAATTGCGATGGTGCTGGCGGTGGGTGGTTTGCAGTTGTGGTTGATTTGCCATGGTTAGATGTGTGTGTGTCTGTGTGAGAGAGAGAGAGTTTGGCTCCTTGGTTAATTTTGCTCTGGTGAGAAATCAGTTTGGATACAAGATTATTTTGTCCTAACAGTAACAAGGCATAAAGGGGCCAATGTTGGTAGATTGAGCACGCATCCTGTGTTTTTGATGTCGGACTTAGCTTTCTTGTTACAACTTTGGAATGTCAAGAGATGTTCGTGTTGTATATGGGGTGGAGAAATCAATCCAATTATTAGTGTTATGTATGGGGTGGAGAAATAAATCCAATTATTAGGGATATTATCGTATTTTATTCTATTCTCTAATCGTTAGGCTATGATTACTGAGGCAGACCTCCACAGTCATCAGCAATGCATCTTCACCTACAATTCCAGTCTTTATTCATCTGCTCAACCTCAACGTGGCTGCTTCCACCTTCCCTTTTGGCTTGTCTCGTTCATTCGTTTCAATGGATTAGTTATAAGCCATTACATTATTCAACCTTGAAATTTTATAAACGAAGAGGCAGCTAAGAACCAGGGGCGGGCGGAGGCAGAAAATTGTTTTAGGGTGGGCATTGTATATTTTAACAAACTTAATTTTTTTCTTGTAATTGATAAAAATAGAATAATGTATTTATATTTAATTATATCCTATTTAATCCTTAAAAGTTCATTAAACTTCAAAGACTAATATTGTTAAGTATAGTAGATAAAAATAATAATAAAAAAAAGAGGCTAATTATATCCTTTTATCAAACAAAGGCTAATCAAAACTATTTAGAATTGATTTGGATAAATTTTTATACGTTGNCCAGGGGCGGGCGGAGGCAGAAAATTGTTTTAGGGTGGGCATTGTATATTTTAACAAACTTAATTTTTTTCTTGTAATTGATAAAAATAGAATAATGTATTTATATTTAATTATATCCTATTTAATCCTTAAAAGTTCATTAAACTTCAAAGACTAATATTGTTAAGTATAGTAGATAAAAATGATAATAAAAAAAAGAGGCTAATTATATCCTTTTACCAAACAAAGACTAATCAAAACTATTTAGAATTGATTTGGATAAATTTTTATACGTTGAAAGTCTTGCATTAACTTTATTATTATTTATATTCACAATCACATTATCACTTAACTATTTATCATTTATTCGATTACACAATAAAATATATTCTCTATTATGTCGGTGATAATTACTAAAATAAATGTTAAAATTATAAGTAAACTCATAGATATATCATGCCTCTNGTGGGTGGTTTGCAGTTGTGGTTGATTTGCCATGGTTAGATGTGTGTGTGTCTGTGAGAGAGAGAGAGAGTTTGGCTCCTTGGTTAATTTTGCTCTGGTGAGAAATCAGTTTGGATACAAGATTATTTTGTCCTAACAGTAACAAGGCATAAAGGGGCCAATGTTGGTAGATTGAGCACGCATCCTGTGTTTTTGATGTCGGACTTAGCTTTCTTGTTACAACTTTGGAATGTCAAGAGATGTTCGTGTTGTATATGGGGTGGAGAAATCAATCCAATTATTAGTGTTATGTATGGGGTGGAGAAATAAATCCAATTATTAGGGATATTATCGTATTTTATTCTATTCTCTAATCGTTAGGCTATGATTACTGAGGCAGACCTCCACAGTCATCAGCAATGCATCTTCACCTACAATTCCAGTCTTTATTCATCTGCTCAACCTCAACGTGGCTGCTTCCACCTTCCCTTTTGGCTTGTCTCGTTCATTCGTTTCAATGGATTAGTTATAAGCCATTACATTATTCAACCTTGAAATTTTATAAACGAAGAGGCAGCTAAGAACCAGGGGCGGGCGGAGGCAGAAAATTGTTTTAGGGTGGGCATTGTATATTTTAACAAACTTAATTTTTTTCTTGTAATTGATAAAAATAGAATAATGTATTTATATTTAATTATATCCTATTTAATCCTTAAAAGTTCATTAAACTTCAAAGACTAATATTGTTAAGTATAGTAGATAAAAATGATAATAAAAAAAAGAGGCTAATTATATCCTTTTACCAAACAAAGACTAATCAAAACTATTTAGAATTGATTTGGATAAATTTTTATACGTTGAAAGTCTTGCATTAACTTTATTATTATTTATATTCACAATCACATTATCACTTAACTATTTATCATTTATTCGATTACACAATAAAATATATTCTCTATCATGTCGGTGATAATTACTAAAATAAATGTTAAAATTATAAGTAAACTCATAGATATATCATGCCTCTTCTAGTTTTGATCAAAAAATAGGGTGTACACAATTTAATATCTTAAAAAAATACTTCAAATATAAATAAGTAATTTAAAAAAAAATAAAAATTTAAGGGTGGGCATGTGCCCCTTCGGCAAAAGGCTCCGCCCCTGCTAAGAACCAACTCAAGTTCTTTTTTTTCAAAAAAAAAAAAAAAAAAAGCCCCAACTAAATTTGAATTTAGATAAAAGTGCTCATTGCCATATTGGTTGCATTGTTTACAAAAATGGTCACCATCATCATTTTTTCTTTTTGGGGATTGTCAATAGGCCCTAATATGAAAAAAGTATTGAGGCGACTCTCGTTTTTTATTGTATTTGAAAAATTCTCAGAATTTGATATTATTTATTGATATTTTTTAAATCGTTATGAATTTAAAAGAACGAATATTAAAGAGCACCCAAAACATGTATGTTAAATTCACATGCATGTAATANAAAAGTGCTCATTGCCATATTGGTTGCATTGTTTACAAAAATGGTCACCATCATCATTTTTTCTTTTTGGGGATTGTCAATAGGCCCTAATATGAAAAAAATATTGAGGCGACTCTCGTTTTTTTTTGTATTTGAAAACTTCTCAGAATTTGATATTATTTATTGATATTTTTTAAATCGTTATGAATTTAAAAAAACGAATATTAAAGAGCAACCAAAACATGTATGTTAAATTCACATGCATGTAACATGTAATTATGTAGTGGGATTATCAAAAACATAAATGTATTTGTATTATCAATACAAAGCAAAAACAAAATTAATTTTCAAGTTCTTTACTAATGGGACATGAGCTAACCATTGAGTTTTTACACATGGCTGAAAAAAAATTAAATTTAAGAAATCCCAAAAGAAAATAAAAAAGCACAAAAAGCCAAAATAAATAAATAAATAAAAATGATGACGTGGCAATATATGCTCATTGAAAATTTATTATTAGAATGAAATGCATTGCATTTTATAACGTATATAACTTAGATTTGACATCGTATAGAAACAGGAGTTCCAGTGGGGACTACTGAGATTGGTAGACTTTTTTTACCAGCTGCATCTTCTTCCCCGACCTTTCAGCCTTTTGTGGCTATCTCTTCGAGTTTTGGACTTTTCCTTGCACTTTCAACTTTTCTTTCTCTAGAAACAAAACGCAAATTAGTAAAAAAAGAGACGCAAAAGAAAAAAAGCAGCCGAGAATAGAAGAGAAGAGCATCGCACCAGCTGAGATCGATTCGTTTCTTTAAAGCATTTGCATTCTGATTCATGATCTTTGGTAACCCATTTTTCTTCAAAATTATCGATTCTTATTTATTTGCTGATTTGATCGTAATTGAGCACAAATCGTTTTGTATCTTATATCAATAAGCAAATGCAGTTCAATTGAGCTTCAATGGAGTAGTTTTCTCTGTTTTGAGTCACTCTGTTCTGATTTCTTGAGGTCCTCCTCAAGCATTGCGGATAGATTTATGTAATGTGAAGAGGGTTTTGCTAGATTTCAGTTTATTGATAAATGAGTAGAACGAGTTGGGTGGGAAGTACTCAAAAAGCATCAAGGATTCGTATGCAAAGATTCTCCATTTTTTTTTTTTGTAAAAAAAGTTGTTGGCTAGTCCTTATTCTTTTTCTATGCAACGTGTTACTTCTACTTGTGATTATGCTATTCCCCACATTAAAGTTCAATTGGATCTTACTTTCTTGCTTCAGATGCATTGTTATTGATCACACATACATAATTGAGAGCATATCTCAACAATGGTTCTTGGTTTGAGGTCAAAGAACCGAAAAGGCACATCTATTCAAGTTGATTACCTAGTTCACGTACAAGAGATTAAGCCTTGGCCGCCATCGCAGTCTTTGAGATCCATTCAGTCAGTATTGCTTCAATGGGAAAGCGGTGATCAAAATTCCGGGTCATTTATTTCTACTGTTGGGGATGCTAATATTCAATTCAACGAGTCTTTCATGCTCCCCTTAACTTTACGAAGAGAAAAAAGGGCCCATGATAAATTTCAGAAGAGCTACTTGGAGTTCTGCTTGTATGAGCCTCGTAAGGAGAGAGCAGCTAAAGGTCAACTCTTGGGGACAGCCATAATAAACCTTGCAGATTATGGAATTATCGGAGAAATTGTAACCATTAATGTTCCTGTGAACTGTAAGAAAATTTCTAAGAATGTGGTGGCACCAGTTCTGTCGGTTAAAGTACAACATGTTGATAAGGATAGCTCCAACTCATCACCTAAGGTCTGCTTATCAAAAGAAGTATCACTTGAGAAGGATGGACATGAATCTGTCTCTGAATTGATGAATGAGGAAAATGACGATGAATCTGAGATAGCGTCTTTTACTGATGATGATGTTTCCTCACATTCATCAAGGACTATTGCCTCTTCTACCTTTGAGGCTGCAGGGGCGTCCCCATCTCAAATTGAAAAGGTACTTGGATTCATCAGTTCTATCCATTCTTGGTAATCTTTACATCTATCGTCATATGGAAATCAAATCAAGTATTATCATTTATCATCAGTCGAAAAGAATCATGCATTTCTATTTGTCACTTCGTGGATGGTCTAGTTACACATGGGACTTTCATATGAAGTGTGTTTATATGATTATATTCATCCATTTGACAAGTGCAACCTATATGCATCTATTTCATTTTATCGGAGTNTATCATTTATCATCAGTCGAAAAGAATCATGCATTTCTATTTGTCACTTCGTGGATGGTCTAGTTACACATGGGACATTCATATGAAGTGTGTTTATATGATTATATTCATCCATTTGACGAGTGCAACCTATATGCATCTATTTCATTTTATCGGAGGACTTGTTTGGAAGATAAGAGCCATGCACAAAAAATGTCAATGATAAGTTGTGATACTGTATTCATTTTACTTTTGTGTAGATGACTTGAAAACCAAAAGAATGGTTGATGGCATTTGTTTATTTGTTTATACCCTACTGTGCTTTCTGTAGGTAGATTCTCTTANCACAAAAAATGTCAATGATAAGTTGTGATACTGTATTCATTTTACTTTTGTGTAGAGCACTTGAAAACCAAAAGAATGGTTGATGGCATTTGTTTATTTGTTTATACCCTACTGTGCTTTCTGTAGGTAGATTCTCTTAGAAAACCTGATCAATTGTCTTGAATTTCTATTTGAATTTTTTTAAAATCATGGATAGTTTACTGTCTTACTGCCCTTCAAAATGCAGAATGGATCAAAATCAGCGAAGGAAAGCATGGGTAGGGGTGTTGGAGATCCTGCTCTACCTTTGCGAGTGGAGTGTGCATTACATGTGGTGAATCCAGGGGCAGAGGCTTTGCAACAGCCAAATGGTGCACACTTGTTATCATCAATAGACTTATCCTCTGATCTAGGGAATCCTGTAAATGATCCTGCGAATTTGCCTAAATTCCCCGAGAAAAACTTGACTTCAATCCCGAAAGAATCTGTTATCCTCTTTGTTCAATCTTCTTCCTTGTCTGTAGGAAATCAAGATACAAATGGGGAGTCTATTCACCGTACGAGAAGCTTTGAACAGGGAAATATGATCCAAGAGTTGCGTGAAAAGATTGCAGGCAACAAAGGCAAAATTGCAACTAAAGATACAAATAATCAGGGGGATCTTAATGCTGATCTTGCATGCTCCAGAGACTCTCAAGTCAATGGAGAAGATGATGAACAAGCCTCTCGATGGAGAAAAAGTGGCCAAGTGGAGGGCCTGGAGGCTACAAATGTTAATTTTGTAGATGTTGGCAAAGTGGTTGGCAAAGAGAAAAAGCAACAAACAGAATATGATCATGTTGAATTGATCCTGGAGGAGAAAGGACATTCTTCTGAATACAAACAAATTGGTAAATATCCAGATGCCACCAGAAAGCAAGGTACATTAAGAAGTGACACTTTTGTATCCAGTAGGAGGGCACTTGGAGTTCAGGGCCCTACCATAAACTATGGTAAACTGAAGCACACAAAATCTGTTCAGTTACCATTTGAACCAGCTAAGGCCAATGAAGTTTTCACCAATGGTCNATTAAGAAGTGACACTTTTGTATCCAGTAGGAGGGCACTTGGAGTTCAGGGCCCTAACATAAACTATGGTAAACTGAAGCACACAAAATCTGTTCAGTTACCATTTGAACCAGCTAAGGCCAATGAAGTTTTCACCAATGGCCAGAATATGGAGAGGACAAAGAATAGATATAAGCTCGAAGATGCTTGTGATGATATTACAAGTAATCCAGCAGTGGAAAGGAAAGAACCATCAAATGGCTTTTGTGACAGTAAAATTGAATGGCAGAGTAGAATTGAGATGCTTGAGGAAGAGCTGAGGGAAGCTGCTGCTGTTGAGGTTGGCCTTTATTCTGTAGTTGCTGAGCATGGGAGTTCCACAAACAAGGTCCATGCACCGGCCCGGCGCCTTTCTAGATTCTTTCTTCATGCTTGCAAAGAAAGATCCAAAGCTAAAAGGGCAAGTGCTGCAAGAGCTTCCATCTCCGGATTAGTTTTGGTTTCTAAAGCATGTGGGAATGATGTTCCTAGGTATGTATCAGTCGCAGTATTTAGGTATGGTTCAATGATAGTAGTTAGCTTTTGGGGAACAATCTTCTGCAGATGGCCTCAATGCTAACTTGCATTGCAAATTCTGAAGAAAGGGCCCCGTAGCTACTGGCCTTAAAAGAAATTTTTATTCGGTGATTTTGGTGATACAATCGGGAATTTAAGTAGTGATAAATATTGAATGATTATCAGCAGGAATATCTCCCAAGGAAATATATAATACTTGTCTGATAATCTGCATCAGATGCGCTTTAAAAATTAATATTGTTGAATCTCGAAAGTTGCAAGTACAAGTTGAAAAGAGTTCACTGGATAGCTGTTCGTTGAACCTGGTATTCGAGAGTTGGGTGAATTTCATTCTTCTGCATTCTTGATTTGCATACTGAGCTCACACCATTTCTTATGGGATACCTTCCCATGTTATTAATGTGCTTTTCTCTTATGTCTGAAAATTTCCCTAGACATGCTGTATGTTTTGTACAGGTTAACATTCTGGTTGTCAAACTCAATTATGCTGAGAGCAATCGTAAGCCAGGCTGTCACTGAAATGCCTCACATTGGCGAAGCGAGGAATAATTCAACCGAGGAATTTGATGATTGGGGGGACCCAGAAACTTTCTACATTGCATTGGAAAAAATTGAAGCTTGGATCTTCTCCCGCATAGTTGAGTCCGTTTGGTGGCAGGTTGTTACCTATTTCTGTTTCTGTTGCTGTTGACTTTCTCTTCAATTCCAATTTTTTGCTTGAATTATTGCTAGTGCTCTTTGTGGCTGATTGTTCAGTTTGCCTTTGGCTTCTGCAGACTCTGACTCCACATATGCATTCTGCAGCTGCAAAGACTGATGCGAGATCAAACTCGAGGAAGACGTCTGGAAATAGATATGGTTTGGGTGATCAAGGACAGGGAAATTTCTCTCAAGAACTTTGGAAGAAGGCTTTCAAGGATGCCTGTGAAAGGCTTTGCCCAGTTCGTGCTGGAGGGCACGAGTGTGGTTGCTTGCCTGTGCTGGCTAGATTGGTATGTTAATTTTGAGGCATTAGACTTCAATCACTTCATAGTAAATGGTCACTACAATAATTGGTTTAATGATATGATATGTAGGTTTAAAAGTTGGATCAGTGCATTTCTAATTGGTCTATTGACCTGAACAACTCCAGTATTGTGTTATACAATGACGCATAAGCAAACAATCAAGTTTGTTGATATGCACTACATCAACCTCAAAAAGAGGAAAATCAGAGGACTAGCCTAGTGGATGATCAGCCCTTAATTAGATAAGTCTTATGACTGCATAAAAATGAGAAGTAATGAAGTGAAGTGTATCTTGGAGGAACTTCATTTGCAGTTGTATTTGTATATCATAATGTGATACTATAACAAGAATGTATGCATATTTCTGTTGGTGCTTGACAATCATGTGACACAAACAGGATTGAAACAAAACCTCTGCTATGGAATGCTTTCTATTATTTGAGAACAGCTGGGGACAATTTGATTATCAGCACAATGTGAGCCATCTTAGTATCCATCTGATTATTCTTCACTTTTTGATGACAACATATGTTTTCTGATGTATCAATGGTTTGTATGCTCGAGTTCCTACCAAGTATTGATTTTGGAGGGATCCTATGCCATATGTTTCTGAAAGTAGTTGATCTGAATGTCTGAACGATGATTCTGTAGAATTTCTGATGTTAGATTTAGATGGTTTTTGTTGAATGACAACATAATAGAACTAACAAATTTCTTCTTCTTTTTCAGGTGATGGAGCAGTTGGTTGGCAGACTAGATGTGGCGATGTTCAATGCCATTCTTCGTGAATCAGATGAAGAAATGCCGACAGATCCTGTGTCTGATCCCATTAGTGATGCTAAGGTCCTCCCAATTCCTGCTGGAAAATCAAGCTTTGGGGCTGGTGCACAATTGAAAAATGCAGTGAGTATTGAAATTGCTTCCTGTTGATTAAGGTTTTAGTAGAAGTCTGCTTGAATAGTCACTCTTCTTCCACGTTTTCTGTTGAACACTCTAGATGCTGACTCTTAAATGTGTATCAATCATATGGAAATATCATTGTAGACGCTGACAACAAGAAGTTGTCTTAAATGTGTGGCAATCATTTGGAAATATCAGTTTGCATTGCTCTTAAAATAAGGATCTTGACTGTTTTTCCCTTGCTGGTAGATTGGGAGCTGGTCTAGATGGCTTACAGATCTCTTTGGTATTGAAGATAATGACTCATCTGAGGATAACAATAATCTGGGTGATGACAAGAGACTGGAACGTGATTCGTCGTTCAAAGCTTTCCGCCTCCTGAATGCTTTGAGTGATCTCATGATGCTTCCGTTTGAAATGCTTGCTGATACAACTACAAGAAAAGAGGTGAATCCCTGTGACTACAATTTTTTCATCAAGAAATGCAATGTGCCATACATTTAAGTTTTCCCATTCATTGGTTTAAATCATACTGTTTGAAGGTTTGCCCTACATTTGGTGCACCATTGATCAAGAGGGTTCTGTACAATTTTGTTCCGGATGAGTTCTGTCCAGACCCAATTCCCGATGCTGTTCTTGAGTCTCTGGATTCTGAGGTTGGTCCTGCTGTGAGAATTGACAAATTACATTACATATATATGCTTTCACACTTCTTTACATTACATCAGTAATTCACTCGGACTTCAATTTATCAGGAAAGCAATGTTGTCCTAATCTTTTTGCATTTATCATTGACTAAGGATGATATGGCGGCTGCTGGAGAATCTCTCTCAAGCTTTCCTTGTATTGCAACTCCGACAACCTATTCACCACCCTCATCATCCTCGCTTGCTCTCGTCATAGGAAGGGTCGGAAGCCAAGCTTTAGAAAGAAGTGCATCATCTGNCCTTGTATTGCAACTCCGACAACCTATTCACCACCCTCATCATCCTCGCTTGCTCTTGTCATAGGAAGGGTCGGAAGCCTAGCTTTAGAAAGAAGTGCATCATCAGTAGTCAAAAAATCGTACACAAGTGATGATGAGCTCGATGAGCTCGATTCACCCTTGACTTCAATAATTGCTGACAGCTTCCGGGGTTCTCCCAGTTTCAAAAATCTCAACTGGATGCCAAAGGGAAAGGGTGGCCGAAACGTTGTCAGATATCAGCTCCTTCGGGAAGTATGGCGAGATGGTGAATAGACCCCAAACCACTCTTATTTAGAACTTGTTATTAAGATTGTTACAGAAACATTATCTAGTTTCTTTTCTATCTATGCATAAAATTTGTCTATACAATTGATGAGAAGTTGACACTTAGGTTGGATCTGGAGGTTGCAACATAGCAAATAGGTTCGGGTTGGCGAGTGTCTTATGAGAGTTCACATCACTGGGTTACCCGACAAACAGGTGTCACACGATGATTGACCCGTCAAATAACGTTTCGTAAAGTTGGTATACCTAAAAGAAAGATGAATGATGTAAAATAGAAGGGTAAGGTATCCCAAGATTCCATAAATTTCATTTTTAACCAAAATGAATGAAACAAGAGGAGAAAAAAGATTAACAAGTAACAACTTATACATATTTTATACAAGTGATACGAGTATTGTTAGGGGTACACATTTGTAACAAAAAGAGAGATCTTTTTCAATACACTTTATCTTCAATTCCCGTTTTGACGTATCATCTATCATGAATTTATATGGGATCTATTGTATACAAATGAGTCCATTACTCATCAATAGAGTAGATTGATTCTGTATTAAAAAAAAAAAATTTATATTCAGTACCCATAGAAGCGGCTACAATCAATAACAGCCTCCCATTTTCCCTTTTTTCACGTAAACAAATTGTGATCTCTATACTTTACTAATTTCTGCATTAACATGCTTTATTTGTGAATTATACTTTATATATGCAAGAAATGCCAATGGGACTTTTCAATTTCTTGAAAACGACGCTTCCTACGAGGATTATGGCTTCAGTACTGATGTCTCTTTCGGCAATGGTATGAATTTTCATCTAAATTGCAAGTCCCATGAAGTATTGCCAATTAATCACATTATCTCCAATTGTAAAAGTAGAATTGACCATTATAAAGTATATACCAATTGTGATTATGATGTTTTGCACATGCAAAATTTGTATCGTATATAGAAATACGATGACGAAACTTGATCTTAAATTGGTTACGGAAGAAAGAGCTTTGATCATTCTCAANTTATAAAGTATATACCAATTGTGATTATGATGTTTTGCACATGCAAAATTTGTATCATATATAGAAATACGATGACGAAACTTGATCTTAAATTGGTTACGGAAGAAAGAGCTTTGATCATTCTCAAAAAAAAATGTGTTAATCTGTTTTCACCTTCTTTATTTGGCTATAACAACCTTATCAGCATGAAACCTTGCCAAAGTATGTCCTTTCATGCCTCTCTTTTGAGTGTTCTATTTTCAATTCCTTCGTCTATATCTCTCTCTCGGCCTTCTTTGGATGCTATTTTCATTTTTCACATAGATATTCCATGCTTTTCGAACTTTTTTCAGGAATCAATGGCAGCAGCCAGAGTAACGTCCAGGCATCGCCCATTGCACACATGTGGAGTTTCAATCTCAGCAATTGTTCACAAAGCCTACACAAAAGCACAAGATTTTGATGGACCCATAGGTTCAATGATAAATAGGATAGATAAGTTGACCACTTCAGCCTTTCCATTGATACATGCCATTCAACGTCGATGGCTAGCAGTCCTCTCCTTTGCTGATGATCATATTCTAGCTGTTGAAAACGTGATGGAGGCCCTTTTCCCACCATCAGCCCGTCTATTCAATCAGATTGACAAGCTCATTCAAACTGCAGAAGCCTTACCAGGAAAATTTGATGATGTAGTGAACAAATTCCCAATAATTATACGCCAAATTCCATTTTTAGATTGGGCATTAGTCCATCTCATATTATGGTTGAATTTCTTGATCTCTACATTAACTCACTGGGGATCGCACAATACAAGGGAGAAGGAGATTGTGATCGACATAAGCTGCAACAATCTCAACAATGACGTTCATAAGCCATCTTCGATATCTGATGAGACCAAGACAGTTGGAGAAGCACAATGCCTGCCTGAATCTCCATCTGATTCTTCGCGAGATGAAACGATGAAAGTTAGCACTAAAGGTGCTCAATGTGAGAATGTTGTGACCTCATCTCCCCAAAGTGGAGGTATAAAGTGCAGTTACAAGGAAATTCTAGAGAAAGGGACCAAAGGAAGCATAGAAAAGACAGATGCAAATAAGAGCAATGAAGACATCACATTGGAGGATCCAATTCTAGAGTTATTTGAGGCAAGTTGGCACATGAATCCAGGAAAAGTGGGTAAAGGTAACTCATTAGCCCGTTTTGTTTCAGACACGTGAAAGAGGAAAAAGTAAGGCATAATGATCGATTATGGTTATAAGAAATTATAGTGTGATTAAGGACTTGTTCCCGGAAGCGGCCATCTCTTGCACTAGCTGCTTGTTGCCACTATTTTTGTGATGAGTTAAAATTCTCCAGGTTTGGAATTGTAGAGTGTATTAAGCAAATAGAATCCCAGAGATGTGCATTTGTTGGCATTCCTTTCTGAGATCTGTCTCTCTGTCTCTCCATGTGGTGGATTGGCTCCTGTGTGGCCCGATGACCAGTCCGGAAAATCGGGCCAATACTTGGATCCGGCCAAAAAATTGGCCTGCCTGACCCAAATTTGAGTAGTCATAGCGTGGAGTGGACCTAGACATTGCCTCCAGCTAATGTGTTGGTCTGGAGCACGATCGTGTGCTTGGCCCGCCAATAGGCCCAACTTTAAATTTGCAGTTTTATGTTGTAAACATGAATATTGCTAAGAATTTAATATAAGTACCTACTAAGGTATTGTTTGTATTGTATCAGACTTCTTTTTGGAGAAGTCTTTTCTCTCGTAAATTGCAGTATAAGGTTCTTATAGGAGTTCTACTTTGAAAGGACTACAAAAGCCATAGGATATCTATATGTATCCCATANTACTAAGGTATTGTTTGTATTGTATCAGACTTCTTTTTGGAGAAGTCTTTTCTCTCATAAATTGCAGTATAAGGTTCTTATAGGAGTTCTACTTTGAAAGGACTACAAAAGCCATAGGATATCTATATGTATCGCATAANTTGGAGAAGTCTTTTCTCTCGTAAATTGCAGTATAAGGTTCTTATAGGAGTTCTACTTTGAAAGGACTACAAAAGCCATAGGATATCTATATGTATCCCATAACGTAATTACAAAGACGTACGATTTCAAACTCGACCAAACACAAGGATGGCTTTCATGGGGGAGTTCTCATCTAATTGGGCGTCGCTTCCGAATCACCTTCTGGATTCAATTCTCAATAACTTGGTTCCAGACTCCGACTACATCACATTTAGTGCTGTTTGCAAGCCATGGCACTGCATTGCAATTCACAATCGGAAGCATCGATGTCTCAGCAACGCCATTCTCAACCAGATACCGTTGCTAATGTTTCCTCCTAATATTCCTAGTGACAATGGCAGGTGCAAAAAAAAGAGTAGTCTTACAGTGTCACTGATAATAAAGTGTACAACTTTAAAATTCCATATTCTAGGAGAATATGTGGCTCTTCATATGGTTGGTTTCTCACTGTACAACAAAACGCGGGTTTAGTCCTTGTCAATCCTTTCTCTGGTGGGACTATCCAACTCCCACCTGTTTCAGAACTTGCAGGACCATCTACTACTGTTAAGGTTGAAGATTCCAACGCTTTGCTGACAGCCGACCCTATTTTATTTCCAAAGGATTACGCTGTTGTTGCTATCTATGGTAGTTATAATTGGAAAAGGTTGGCATACATTAAATCCGGTGATAAGAGTTGCAGTTGTGTTAACACTCCAGGCTTCGATGCGTTCAACAATCTTGTCAGTTACAGAGGACGCATATATGCAGTGGATAGTTGGACAGGGATGGTATCCTTTGATGTTAGAGGTGTTAGTGACAGTAATTTGTCTTCGCCATCATCGAGCGTGAAGGAGGAGGTTGCACCAAACACGTCGTATGATCCTGTAGGCACTTACATTGTGGTATCATCTGCTGGTGATAATCTTTTGTTGGTTCAAAGATTTCTCATTCCATTCACATGTGAAGACCCACAATTCAAGGTTTTCAAGTTGCAATTGAGTCCAAGCGGGAAGGCGGAGATAGTGAATTGAAGAGCATTGGTGGTGATGCCATATTCATAAGTGCTAGTTGTTCCATGGCCGTTTTGGCTTCTGATTTTCCAGGATGTCGACCAAATTCTATATACTTCGCACATAATTATTTCGGGATTCAAAACCATCCATTTGATTTGGTCATTTTCAGTCTTGATGATGGCAGCTTTGAAACACTCCGCATCCTAGATCCTTCACAGAAGCACGGCATGGTGCTGCCTGCCGTTTGGATTTTGCCAACACTGTGTGGATACCTATCTCCGTATGACTGACCTTTTGTTTTTTTTTTCTTTTTTCTTGTCCTTTTAATTTTGAGTTCAGTTTTTGAAGCAGGGCTGCCTCTTATTCTTCCCAAATGTCTGGTAATTAAATAAAGGTTAATAGTATTTTTGATCTCTAAAATATGTATTTTTTTGTCAATTTAATTCTCATTGTATCAATTTTGTCGATTTGATCTCTAAAGTATTCAATTCGTGTCATTTTAGTCCCTAAACAAATAATCCGTTAACTTTTTTAAAGGAAGTGACCACATGTTATTTTTTTAGGCATTATCACGTACCAAACACATGATCATTCCGTTAAGTCCGTCTATATAGGAACAAAAATGACACAAATTGAATGTTTTAAATATTAAATTGATACAATAAAAACTAAACTGAAAAAAAAAAACACACACTTTAGAAATTACAAATAGTATTAACCCTTAATCAATTAAAAATCCATTAGGATACAAAGCAGTGGATGTGGAATAGGTCAAGGTGTCAACCAAGTGATAAGAATTGCTAAGAAGGTTTTCCTGTGATGTCCTTCTCCTTCTAAAGGAAGCAATACTTTGTGTGTGATGGCGTCAATTGACTTGCATGAACTACTAAAACTCAAGGAACTTCCAATGAAAGCTTCTTCATGTCACGTTTGTATATCACAAGTCACGTTTGTGGAACGGTCTTAATAAAAAAAAATTAATTTGATTGAATTTGGATCAGATTTTAATTGATTTGGAATCTATTAAGAAACTATGATTTGAATTCGATTTGATTATTCGACAAATTTTATTTTCATAGCTTATATCTGAATCTTTTTATCAATTTGACAATCCGTTCGATCCATCAAATAATTACTTAATTTCATTATATGCTCATATTAATTTATGATTCAAATCATATTTTAACCGAATTACATATTGGTACATACGAATTCATATACAAATAAAAAATTAAATAACTAATAACAAATATCAGTCAATATCTGAACAATTGAATTTGGGCTGGAGTTGATGATGCGTTTTCATTGAAATTATTAGATAAAGAATAAATTTTAATATTTTATGAGACTCACAATCAATTCAAAGGTAATAATGAATCAAATTAACAAATCATATTAGATTTATAGGTCAAAATGACATTGCCCTCCTTTAATTGAGTTGCACACACTGCATAAATGGAAAGAGCTTCCAAAGGAAGTTAACTCCTGTAATAGTGGTGGCAGTATAAAAGCCATCACACCCAGAATGGCAGCACCATGCAAGCAAAATACATTTAGTTTTTCATATCAAACATGCCTTCAACAACAGCCATATTATCAGCATACACCACTTTGGCTGCATTAGCAATGCTGGTCAGGACTGTTCTTAATGAAGTCCAGAACATGATCAACCAGCTTATACCCAAAGCACTCCAAGAGAAAATACTATCAAAACTTGGAGGCCTCATCCTGATGGGAAGTCTCTCTCCTAACGTGACTCTCGTCGTCGATGAATACAAGGGTCTCTCCATCAATGAGATCTTTGAGGCATCAGAAATCTACTTGCGTACAAAGATCACCCCTTCCATCGAGCGGCTTAAGGTTTCCAAGGTACCCCGAGAGAAGAACCTGTCTGTCACCATCAACAAAGGTGAGAAAATCATCGACGTGTTCGAAGGAATTCAATTGATTTGGGAAGTGATTTGCATAGAAGATCAAAAAACAAGCTTCGACTACGAAGGGTATTTCTCTAACGAAAAAGTTGAGCGTAAATCAATTGAGCTCAGTTTCAACAGAAAACACAAGGAAATAGTATTGAACTCTTACTTGCCATATGTATTGGAGAGATCAAAAGCTATAAAAGCAGAGAACAAGGCAGTGAAGCTCTTTTCGCTTGGATCTTTCAGTGGGGACTACGAAGGGGGACCTTGGGGATCGGTTAATCTGGACCATCCATCAACTTTTGAAACATTGGCAATGGATTCGACACTGAAGGAGGAATTGATCGATGATTTGGATCGATTTGTGCGGAGGAGAGAGTTCTATAGGAGAGTTGGGAAGGCTTGGAAACGTGGGTATTTGTTGTATGGGCCTCCTGGTACAGGTAAGTCAAGCTTGATCGCAGCCATGGCGAACTATCTGAAATTCCACATTTATGACTTGGAACTCACTTGTCTCACGAGCAATTCAGAGCTTAAAAGACTGATGGTTTCTACTGCAAATCGATCCATTATTGTGATTGAGGATATTGATTGCAGCGTTGAATTGGAAAACCGGGGTGTTGGAGGATACAATCAGAGTGACAATCAGGTGAGCATATAGGTCCAAATTTCTTTCTTTCTTTCTTTTGAAGGTAATTTTTCGTTTCACAAATCAAATTTATGTCACTCTAATTTGTCATAGTCACATGAGACATGCCCATTTACTATTAAATAATTAAATATTGGTTTTCATCGATCAAAATAATAAAAAATAAAAATTTGAGAGAATTGATTTAATTGAGGTTAAGAATCATTTACTATTACCAGCATTGCTTATTATTTGGTAATGTATTTTCCTTCATCGATTTTAGGGTTAGGGTGATACTTTTATGTCATTTTAATTCCTAAAATTTATAATTTATGTCACTCTAATTTGCCGTAGTGACGTGAGACGTGACAATTTACTATTAAATAACTAAATATCGGTTTTTATCGATCAAAATAATAAAAAAAAATGAAAATTTAAGGGAACTAAATTGATACAATTAAAAATAATGAAAATTGAAGTCAAGTGACACAAAATGTACAACCATTAATAATATTTTTCCTTATTTAGAGGAAAAGAAGAAGGCAAAATAAAAATTGGGATTATTTTATAATGCGAAGATAACACTTACAAAGGAAGGAACTTATGAACTGTTGTTCTTTCTCATCTACAGTTAACACTATCAGGTCTGCTGAATTTCATTGATGGCCTATGGTCAAGCTGTGGCGACGAGAGGATAGTAGTGTTCACAACCAATCACAAAGAAAGACTAGACCCTGCATTGCTGAGACCAGGCCGTATGGACATGCACATTCACATGTCCTATTGCACTCCTTGTGGCTTCAAAACCCTTGCTTTGAACTACCTTGGTATTTGTAATCACATTCTGTTTAGTGAGATAGGAATGCTCTTATCAGATGTGGAGATAACCCCAGCAGAGATAGCAGAAGAGTTGATGAAGAGTGAAGAAGCAGACATTGCTCTTGCCCGACTCGTTGAATTCCTCCAGAAGAAGAAGAAGGCTAAAGATGGTGAATCAAAGTTTGAAGGAGGAAATGAAGTTGATGAAGAAGGGACCAAAAGCGAGGAAACCAATGAAGGAGGTGAGAAGAAAGCGAATAGAAAGAAGAGGAAGGCGGAGAGGAGGAAATGTTTTTTGCAGCAAAAGACTAGACGATGATGATTCTGTAATATACAGAATTGTTCGCCCACCGTGGGGATTGAACCCATTGCGCTAGACGGGCTTGTTCTCATCTTATATGCTTCAGTTTTCTTTTGACAATAAATCANGGAAGGCGGAGAGGAGGAAATGTTTTTTGCAGCAAAAGACTAGACGATGATGATTCGGTAATATACAGAATTGTTCGCCCACCGTGGGGATTGAACCCATTGCGCTAGAAGGGCTTGTTCTCATCTTATATGCTTCAGTTTTCTTTTGACAATAAATCATGTAAGTGGCAATAAATTCAGACAACTACGTTTTGTTCTTCAAGGAAAATGCTATTTTGAGAGTTGGTCACAAATGTGGCACTCTAAGAATGTCCAGAAGTTTCAACTGCACTGAAAACAACTGAAACTAAAAATTAACGACCGCACTGAAAACAGCTAGTAGGTTGGCACAAATGTAATTAAACACAACACAATACAAACCCAATTATACAAGATTATAAATGAGTTGGATATGGGTTGAATAAATTTTAGCATGACANACAAATGTGGCACTCTAAGAATGTCCAGAAGTTTCAACTGCACTGAAAACAACTGAGACTAAAAATTAACGACTGCACTGAAAACAGCTAGTAGGTTGACACAAATGTAATTAAACACAACACAATACAAACCCAATTATACAAGATTACAAATGAGTTGGATATGGGTTGAATAAATTTTAGCATGATACTAACAGAATTTAAAAACACGACAACGACATGATCCATTGATGGCCATAACTAATAGACCCATCCTACAAAACATTTCCACCATGTCTTGATACGACTTGATGGCCCCTGGCCATGAGAGGCAACTGCTCACAAACGGTTGCCTCTAGTCCAGCTGAAAGGGCAGATGAGATAGTATACATGATTAACCTATCAATGAGTTTCTCTGTGAAACAAATGCCGAACACATCCACCAACAAATACACATATCCAAGTACTGCTAGATTTACTGCAAAATGTGGCTTTAAGGCTCGAATTATAGCCTGAATGATACATGTTAACTCTGCCCTACAGAGGAAGTCAAGAAAGAAGAAAAAAAATCCATAGATTACACGGGCCTGTACATCTCTTCTTCTATATAAAGCTAATAATAAGCGATGCCCATATGAACAGGACATAATAAGAACAAAAATGGAGACATCACAGAAATTTACAACACTGACAAGGGAGTAAAGATAGAAACTCAACACTGGTATACTGAAAAGCTCTTGTTCTTCCACCAAAAGCTCCAAGCCCTCCCCAACTTTCTTCTTGAGATTGACTTAGATAATGGTTTTGATTCTTGAGGGAGATCGGACATCTCACTATTTTCATGCTGCCGATGAATATGAACGGGTGATGGGTCCCGTTGCCGCTGCACCCGGAACAGCATCAAAAGTTTCTGAGCCTTCTGTTTTCCTCTCATAGTTCCATTCACTGAAATCGACACCAATGAAGGTATCACCCCTTCTTGCAGGACCAATTGACTGCATTTTTCATCCCCATTACATAAGATCAGTAGACATGCAGCAGCTTGCTCCTGTTCAACAGGCTCACCGATGTCCAATATAGTAGCAAGCCCACCAATAAGGCCTGGGGCTGATATAATTTTATCTCTTGCCGATTTACTTGAAGCTAAGTTCGTAAAGACAGCTATGCATTTTTCTGTCCATGAGTTGTCACAAGAATCTGTTACAAGGGCTTGGAGGCCTTCAATGATGCCAGCCGAGAGAAGGTGGGTAGTATTGGAGGGGTGGCTGGAGAGATTATAGAGGCCATGAAGGGCATCAAGCTTACATTGCGAATCAGCATCAGCCTGAAGTACCTTGATTAAGAAAGGAACAGCCTTACTTGAGCCAACAATGGGCTTGGCCTCTTCAAGGCAGGAGAGGTTCAGGTGAAGGGCTGTTACTGATCCATGAGAATTGGAATTTTTAATCATATCCCCCAGCAATGAAAGTACTCCTGCCGCTAACATTATTTCCTTGTTTCTGGAAGGAATATCAAATAGCAAAGTTCATCAAATCTACATATACAACTTTATGATTAAACAAGAAATCTATGGAACTAACAGGCCAAATCAAGATGAACAAGTAACTAAACGACTTACTATATAAGAATTTCAAACATGGATTGTATGATTCTAAATTATTATTTTTGACAAAACCTAATTGGGCATCTTTTCCACGAGTCGTAGTGTCAATCAGTGCTAGTTTCAACAGAAAACCAGATGTCGAAAGATACCGATAGAAAACAGATAACTAACCTGGACAGCAAAGACCATATATAATATAAAAAAAGGTTAATGCAGACGACACACAGCTCAAAGGACACAGGAAGCATATCACCAGGGAAAAACACCCACACAAAACATACAATATTAATACAAGCCACATTTCCGAGTTCATGAGAATCATGATTGGCTTCCCTTGGAACTTTTTGAGCCAAGGAACAAAATCTTTTGGATAACAGTGACAATAAGATCTTCATGAGATACAACATACCAGGAAAACGTGAAAAAATTTAGCTATCATATGTTCCGATAAGAAATTCATGTAATGATCTGTCAATTCCCATAATGTTACATGATATTATTGTGGCTAGGAGTTATCAATGATGTTCTGGAACCCTCAAAAAAGATTGTAATTACCCTACTGTACAATTGATTCCTATGACAAAGCCACATTTGATGCTTTCAAACTCCAGAGACGGTGAACATGAGCATACCTGTTATTGTTAACAGCGAGGTTGAAGAGAGCCATAGCTCCAACTTCCTCAGCCATTTNAATTGATTCCTATGACAAAGCCACATTTGATGCTTTCAAACTCCAGAGACGGTGAATATGAGCATACCTGTTATTGTTAACAGCGAGGTTGAAGAGAGCCATAGCTCCAACGTCCTCAGCCATCTCATTCCTTTCATGCATGGCAGACTCTAAAAACCGTAATAGCGCTTCCACAAAACCATTTGCCCCCATATAAATCCTGGCTTCCTCATCATCCTTTAGCAAGTGCCTTATCTGTTCTACCACTTTGCATTTTTTCCTCAAATCTCCCTCTCTGTCCAATATGGTCAGAAAGTCTTCATATATTTCAAAAACGTTAACCTCAAAGTCATCCTCCTGTGCACAGACTTTTTCCAGTTCATTTTCTTCAGCCTCCTCGGTAATACCACTCTCCTCCAAAGGAACCACCTTGACACCCTTGAATTTGTTGGAGCTAATACTGTCCACTGCTTTTGAACTCGTGGATTCACTCTCAGATAATGCCAGCCTCCAGTAGTTGAGATCAAGAGACTCCGGGGGGCCATCTGGAACAGGGATTCCATTCTGTTCACACCAACTAGCAACCAGACCCTTGACACAGTAATTAGGAGTCAAAGAAAGATGAGAGAGCTGTTGCTGAGTTTTTGGGCAGGAGTTGTGCGCATCACCGAACCACTTCTCAATGCAGATCCTTTCATATGTTTGCCCAGAAGCAACAATGACTGGATCGTACATGAGCTGCAATGAAATAGGACACCTTAACTCCTCAGGTGGGACAGGCATCTGACCTGATCTCCTGAAGTTTGGTTTGAAATTGAAAGAACTGAGTTTCGAGAGATGCCGCTCAAAGGCATGACAGTTTCCAGCAGGCCCACCGCCATCATCAAATGACCCCTGAACTGTTGGGGAACAAGGCGTTGAACCCTGTGAGTCATTGTCATCTGAGAATTCACTTCGGAATAACTTCGAGTATTTTCTCGTGAGATGTAAAAGATAAGCCACAATTGATTCCTTTCGCTTATCTTCCTCTACCCGAGCTCTTTCTATGAGTTTCTTCAGAGCTCTTCTTTCTCTAAGAGCTGCTCTCGAAGAGGTAATAACAAGTCTAGTTGCAGCCTGGTGAAAAGATTCAAGCTCATTGTTGTCATTACTGTTGCTGTCAAATTTTCTCCCTTGCTGTAGCAATACAATTATGTCATCACCCACTTGCTTCTCCAATGGATCAAGTGAGAACTCCATTCCCTCAAGTTCACTCAGAATTTCGGAAATCTGGAACAGTTGTGGTTACAAATTGGAATCAAAAACATCTTTAGTGAAGTGGAAACAACTATGAAGAACTAGAACCATTCCACTTAAGAACAATTATAGTGCTATTTTTCTATGTGATACAATAAAAGTCAAGGACAGATGAAAATTATAAGAAACAGCACAACCAAAAACTTTGCTAGACCGTTGATGCATCAAAATGTTTTAACCAGAGAAAAAAGAGAGAGACATAGCCAAAAGAACTCAAATCAAAAGTACCTGACAACAAATAGCTGGTGCAACAATATCTTCAACACGCCTAAGACTATCTTCAAGAGCACGTCTTGCCTTCTCAAATTTTAGAACAACAGAGTCCCCAGTTATAGCCTGCATTACAAGAGTAGTTAAAGTCGTAAAACATTCCTTTGGCCTTAATCTCAGAAAATATTTTTTCTAAAAAAAGAAAAGCTCCAAAGTCATTAAATTTGAGTATACGTGCAATGTTCAAGAGCCAAACATTGCAAAAATTTCACACAATTCTACTTGTGGTGAGTGGGAAAAATAAGGAGTTATGGCCACCAAAAAGAAGAGTAACATCCTGCATGTGCATATTTATTAATTATTCATCTATGGACGTTACAAATAGGAAGCTTAACTAACGACCACAATGGAAAGTTCATTCTCAGTACACGTAGGCATAATTACTGCATAAGATACACATTGGAGGGGAAATCATACCAAATAAAGTTTACTACATTCAGAGCAATGTTGAAGAATATTCTTGGTCTTTTCTAGCGCTATGTGCAATGCGCACAGTGCTTGAATTCCTGACGTGCTCCTCGGCCGTGCTGCTTCAAGATCAGGGAAAATCCCCAATACTTTGGAATAAATTGCCGAGAGTGTCTTGCACATCACACCATGTAACTGCAGTAGCAATCACATACTTATCAATCACTCACCAAATTAATCAAAACTATGAGAAGTGTAGAAACTAGGGACCAAGATCAAATTGTGCAATGCCATAGAAATCAATAGTACAATCACAGTATGACACGGCCTAAATTTTGTCCACGTACCCACAGCCCAGTCAACCACCATAATTTCAGAAACAGGAATGTCGTAATCTTGCAAACAATGCAGTTGAACATTTATCCAGCACACCAAAACTCACACTAATTACTAAGTCTCATTTTCCATATATTTACCGATCCCAGTACAAAATTCTCTCCCATACATGTACTAGAATAAACGAAAGAAGCTCAAGCACCCTAAGCATATGTAATAACCATCGCGATTCCATTAGAAATCTCAACTCAAAAACTATTTAGGCTACCAAAAGGTACTGCCACAAGCTAAATTCAATGAACTCTTAGACGTTTTTATGTATGTATATGTGTGATTGAGTGAGTGTGTGTGTGTATATATATATATATTTCTTGTGTATGTACCTTTGGCTCGCCTATCGCAAATACATTATCTTCAACCTCAACATGATCCATAATTCACATTCGGTGTAGAAACGATACTACGACTTTATATCACCTGCAAACGCAGAGGAGAAGGTAACAAATCTGTATACACAAATAGAACTTTCCCTTCCAAATCACCCAATGAATAAATCTGAAATAACTCATGAAAGCAACAGCTAACAAAGTTATTCGTCCCATTAACTTAATGAACTGGGTGAATAAAAGTCTGAAAATCAAGAATGGTCGGACAAAAGACACGTATTGATGATTACCAATCAATGAGACAAATCTTGTGCGTACAACATAATACATTGTGAATAATTCCAAAAATACTAACTTTGATCTAGATATTTTGTCGAAAATCGCACACTCAAATTCAAATTTCTTTAAAAAAAACAAAAATATGTATTTCAAATTCAAATTTCTTCAAAAAAACAAAAATATGTATTACGAATGACCAAAAAAAAAAAAACCAAAAGAAGTTTTTTTTTTTACACATTGATGCAAGCCTCGGAAAAAAAACCCGGAAATTTCAACGCATAAAAAATTAATAAACAAAAACAAAATTTGTCCTCCTTAGCTGAGATCTCAAAAATGACAAACTCCATACATGGAGTCAAGAATTCATTCCCAGCAAATGAATTGAGAAACCCAAAGACATTGAAACAAATTTAAGAAAAAACTTTTAGGGGAAAAAAAAGCCCAATGGCCATTTTTTTTTCCTCAAAACAACAACAATTTTTGTAACTATCCTCAGTTGCAAAATCGATAGGGTTTCTGTAGCTGAAAACGTACCAGAAACAACTAAGTATCATCCAATGGGGCTTCATGACAAGAACCATGAAGGAACGATTTGGGTTTTGTAAGTTAATGTCCTTATCATTACACTTTGATATTGCGTTTGGATCAACTCTTTCAGAGAGGAATCCACGCAATATAAAGAGAGAGAGTGTGTACAGAGGAAGATACGAAGGTAGAGAGAGAGGGAGAGAAGAGGGCTTGAATGGTAAGAGAACATGTGAAATGACAAATTAAATGGGTGGCAATAAAATAACTTAAAAAGTGTTTGTTAAACAAAGATTTGAAGAAATTGTTTTAATTTGTAACCTTTTTTTTTTCTTATGCTTTTTGAAACAGAAATAATTAAATATATTTCGAGGAAGTGCTTGGAATTCTGACCGGTTTTGTCTCCCCAGATCACCGGCCGACAGTTGCCGACCTCCTCGTTTGTCGGTAATCAGATCTGTCATAAATGCCTCCAAAAGTCAAATATAGCCTTTTTGACCCATTGAAAAATGAAAGGTGAAAAACTCTTAAATGAGGTGTCCATCTAAAAATTAACTTTATGGTTAATTAAACTAAGTAGTACTTATTTTTTACTTATAGTAGCCATTAATTATATTATTTGTATATAATTTTAATTTAATTAATTTATTATTCTCGAGTTTATATATATTCATGTCAGTAAATAAAATTGATGGATGGTAAATACTCCAGAAGATTAAGCGAAACATGATGCTTGAAGGACAGTCAAGACGGGGGAGGGTATTTTGGTGAATTGGAGATTAACGTGGTATTCTATTCTCAGCAGCTTGGGCCTCCAAACAAGGAGTACAGACATTGCACACCTATTTTGTGTGGTTAATTTTGAGTCACATCTCACCACTAGTCCACGTGCTTGTGCTTGTCACCAATATTCATTCGTATAATTGGACCTGACCAACCATCCCAGATCCGTAATTGAAGGTGGCAACCTGTAGCTTTCACATAACGAGGCAAAAAAAACGTCTTCATAACAGTTGAGAACTTTGTACCACACCGGTGGCTATATCACATTACATGTATCAAAATTTATCCTTGTTTGATTCATTTAACGTTAAGACTTACAATTTAATGTAATAATTCCAATAATTCTGATGGTGTGGATAATTAAGAGGGAGGAGCAACTTTAAGTGTACAAGCAGTGAGCTATGTGAGAGGCCAGAGTGTGTTAGTTACCTAGATAAGATTAAATTTGGACTCTAGAACACTAATATAAGTAAAAAGAGCTCCGTGAGCTCAGTGTGCAATAAATAAGATATGCGTGATGGAACCGTTCGATAAGAGATGAAAAATACAAAGAAATGAGTTGTTCATCAAACTGAAGAGTTTGACTAATCCATTGTAATATAAATTATTACTCCTCTTATTGTGTGTTGCTTGGATAAGAAGAAGACTATTACAAGAAGATTCAATCCCCTTTTACTAAGGGTGTGTGTCAGAGTTATACAAGGATGGGGTTTATGGCTCTCANTTACCTAGATAAGATTAAATTTGGACTCTAGAACACTAATATAAGTAAAAAGAGCTGAGTGAGCTCAGTGTGCAGTAAATAAGATATGCGTGATGGAACTGTTCGATAAGAGATGAAAAATACAAAGAAATGAGTTGTTCATCAAACTGAAGAGTTTGACTAATCCATTGTAATAGAAATTCTTACTCGTCTTATTGTGTGTTGCTTGGATAAGAAGAAGGCTATTACAAGAAGATTCAATCCCTTTTTACTAAGGGTGTGTGTCATAGTTATACAAGGATGGGGTTTATGGCTCTCACTAATGATTGTGCGGTCTATTAAATCTGTTGGAATTATTTAGAGAATATTTGACCGTTAAATATAATCACCCTAAGAGTTATGAGAGTTTTCAGAAACAGTTAGATGACGTTCTTTGAGGCGGTGGCTTGTTGTACAAGGTAAACCTTGTTGTCTGAGTTCTCCNGATTGTGCGGTCTATTAAATCTGTTGGAATTATTTAGAGAATATTTGACCGTTAAATATAATCACCCTAAGAGTTATGGGAGTTTTCAGAAACATTTAGATGACGTTCTTTGAGGCGGTGGCTTGTTGTACAAGGTAAACCTTGTTGTCTGAGTTCTCCTTCTTCTCTTTGTGATGATTTTCAAGTTGTCCTAGCAAGGGCCGAGCTGCATTGCTTCCTTGGATGAGTTGGAGTTGTTTGCATCAGGTCGGATGACTTCAGTTTGGTCGGTCAGTTGAGAATTACTTAATCTGAATTATTCTGAGTTTAATCTAAACTACAATTTTTGGTATCATCAAGTTCCATCTATTGTACTAGTGCTTTAGTTACGATGACTCTAAATTCAATTGATCTATAATGTTAGTTACCATGCCGAACATGTCTATGTGTCAAGATCGTGTCATTAACAGGTTTGAATTGAATTTTAAATTTGCATTAATATTGGGTGAATAGGTATGTTTGTGTGATAAATTTGCATTCATTAATTAAAATAAAAAAAGAATAGTAAATAAGTGTATGAATTAGTCAAAACTAATAAAATATGTGTTTATGAACCTAATAAACACAATAGAGACATGTTAACCACGACTTTCACACAACATGAACTCGAATATATATAATTATAAATAGATCATGTATGAATCGAAAAAACAATTGGCACAACCCGGCACACCATTATCGGCCCTACTTATCATGTCATGGGAATCATTTGACGTATCCATGTAAAGGAATAAGTTTAGTAATCTTGGATTAATTAGTTGGGAGGTCAAACCAGAGTGTCTTAAGCAGAATAATACAAGAGCAATATAATGACCGGCACATAATGCCGTGGTCGAGGTTTGGGGAAGCAAGTGGCACACGTCCTATGGACAAGATCCAATTGAGGTTAATGCATCCAACTTCCTTGCAGTTGATTACATGCAGGATAGTGCTTAAACTCGATTATTCTGTTTTACTGTGAAGCACTGGTTGATGATGGGATTTGAACTTCAATGTATGTTACTCAATATTCCTAACTTTACAACTAGATCAAAACAACCATTGACTCTATGCCAATTTAGTTCAATAGTCAGTCTCTTCAAAACGAAAAAATTCTTATTATTATCAGATCTTGTTATAAGGACAAGACTTGTTTAGTAGACTGATTTTTATGATTTTTGAGATAAAAATAGTAATATTGGAAACGTTATTGAGTCAAGTTNACTGATTTTTATGATTTTTGAGATAAAAATAGTAATATTGGAAACGTTATTGAGTCAAGTTGCCTATGACTCGAACTTGATTGCCTTGCAAAGCTTAGTTTTTTATTCAAATTAGATGCCTTTTCAGATCGAATGCCTAGGTTTAGCTTACATGTCTCGACTTATTTATGTACTACCTCCTATATTATTCCAAACATCACTGTCATCTTCAATCAAAGTTTGTCTACTAAGACTCATACCAAGATATATTTTTTAATTGGCTATTATTCCTTGTATCTTTTTGAGCTACTCAGACTTGTATTGCCAAACCCAGAACAAGGAAAGCTTTGCAACCATTTCCTTGGCTTGGCCTGTGGGATTCAAGGCTACCTATTCCAAAGGCCTTCAAACGGAGTCAAGACTGTAATAGTGTATAACTGTGAACCTATCAATTAAAGTCTGATGGGTATTTTTTTTTTTTTTTTAACTATGGAAATAATACTTGACCGTGACTCACTTTTTGATACAATACTAAAAAATAAAAATCAAAAATCAAAATAATTGTAAAGTTTATTCCCCAAAAATAGTAAGTGAATCTCAAAGGTGTATGTCATGCAAAAGTTGATAAGCTTTACAAAAAAATAGTATTAAACATCTAAAAAAATAATAAATAATACAAACCCTAAAATCGACATGGTATATTTGTAATAGAGAGAAATCAAATGATGCATGTGAATGGACACTAATCATGGATATTACTTTCTTGTGGGATTGTAACATCTTGATTATTAATATTCGTTGTGCAGTGAATTCCATTCATGAAAGATTTTTCACTTTTTGAAATAAAGGTGGGTTTGTCCCGTCTATGTTTGTTGTTTTCTTTGGCAATCATTGTTTTCCAAAATGAAGTTGTACCTCTAGTCATGCCTACTACTGCCTTTAGTTAGGACATTCAATCTTGCAAAGGCACTACTGATAATATCATTATACTAAACTCTTCATATTCATCTATACGTACTTACTTTTTAGCTTGATCAATTGACATGCCAAAGCCATGTCTAAATTCTATGAATTAAAGTCAAACTAGAAAGAGTAAAATTCAAGTCAATACAATTGTATTATGATAATTATGATATTGGAATATTGTCTAATTACGTGTAAATTCTGAAACTTGGTTGACATGTAACTGATGCTTGACAATGTAGTTGAATTTTAGCCACATGTCTCTCATGTTGAGTTGAACTTAACTCTCTAAATTGGTTCAAGTATTATAGGCTCTGAATTCCGCTACATCCAAATCAGTACAAGGTCACATGACCTATGCATTAGTTTTTTTTTTGGTTAAAAAGTCAGGGATATTTAGGTCAGTTTATACTTATTTCGACTAATTTCTTTCCCGGTCTGATAAAAAATAAACCATTCACACCAGTGTTATATATATACAATAAATATAATTATTTAATAATAGTGATATATTAATTAGTATAACTTCATTTGCGTGTATTGACATAACAATAAATACGTATATATAAGAGTATATATATAGTATACATAGAGTATTTGTAATACTTGTAACTTGAAATTGGCGGGAAACTGAAATTTTCACTTCCTTTCAAAATTTTAGTTTATATAATGTTAACTTCAAGTTATAATTTTGTATATATATGTGAGTGTCTATATATATATTATAGAAGAAAAAGAAGAAGAAATAACAAAGAAGTATAGAGGCGATGTTCGAATGCAAACCATGTTCGAACGTGACATTGAGTTTGTTTGAACGTGAAAAGGTTTTTTGTTTGAGATTAGTGACGACTATATTCTTGCAACCTTTTCAAGAAATGTCTTTTGTTATAGTTATGAAGGATTATGCTTCTTCATACATAGAATACTATAAATAGGGTTCAAGTACAAGAACAAAATATTAACAAAAAATGATTCTTCTTCTCATTGATACAAAACTTCTACATTTTTATATTTTTTATATTCTCGTTGAGTGTTTGATTCTAAGATTACTAAGGAGTACAATATTCGATAATCTTAAAATTAAATATTGTATCATGGAGGTAGAATTTTCAAGAGTCCATCTGCATTATAAGTAAAAAAATTATTATCTCGAAGATAACGACTGTCGCACCTTGACTAGCAATCTATCTTCTTCGATTTTTATTTTTAACTTTTCTACTAATTAAAATTATTTTTATCCCTTGAATTACCCTTAGAGTTGAGGTACGCATTAATAAATTCTCGTTTCTGATTTATAAAGATTTGCAAGACAATGGACATGAGCTATTTTTGTATTATGTTGCTTTTAGGATTCAAATTGTCCGTTTCTAAATGCACAATGTCAAAAGCATAGGTACATCATGCGTCAGTTGACATAGTTACAACAATTCTATTTATACCCACATAAATCCTTTTGACACTAGCCATCAGAGCGGCAAAAAACAAGTTTGATTATCACAAACACATACCATCACAACCATGCATTTCTAGTACAACACAATTAGGTATGGGCCATCCCCAATTTAGTCTTATTTAAACAATGTCACTTTAATTTGAAACGAGTGGCCCTTAAGGTTTTCAAAGATTATGACCATCATCAAGCATTTTCGTGGTAGTCAACGTTGCTCACTAATGCACATTGCCCATTTTACAATTTCATGTAAATAACTTCTGCATGTGAAGAACTAATTTCGAGTTAAGGAATAGTCGGTGAAAACCTTAAAATCCTGTAACAAATAATAATAAATTGTAAGTATGTCTGTAACAATCAGAGCACTTTGGTAAAGATATCCAAAAGGCCCATACTACATATGTTTACTATANTTTAAAATCCTGTAACAAATAATAATAATAATAATAATAAATTATAAGTATGTATGCAACAATCAACATTAATCAGAGCACTTTGGTAAAGATATCCAAAAGGCCCATACTACATATGTTTACTATATCCATCTCGGTAAAAAATCGTCATAGTAACATTACACTATGTTAATACCGTCACCTAATAATAAGTCAACAAGAGGACAAAATGAATTTCAATGGTTTAAAGTAACTACCCTTTTGTACAAGAGTAGCAATTCATTTTACAATGTGAGGTTTATTTTTCACTTACTTATTTTTAAATTGTGATATTAAATGACAATATCAGCCTTTACTCCCATATTGGAGGCCAGCCCCGAACCCCTGGAATATTACATGATACTAATTTCAAATCAATTAACCTCCACGCATAACAGTGTTAACCGAGTGGCAAAGTTTGGTCAACGGAATCTCTTTCTCGGCCTTTCCCCTAGATTTTTTGATAGAATGTGTACCTTAGGAGTCCCGTAAGTTATCATGTCCTCCACCTAAAAATTTACCCCCATCATGAAATTAATTGGTGTACGAGTTCGGGACCCACGAAACGACACAGACCAAATTTGAATAACCCAACCGACTCCAAGGTTTTTAAGTGGTGGACTAATTTCTGTCTGTGGGACCCTGCCATTATGTGCATTCACCCAATGCACATGATCTACATTAAGGTTGGTGACATCCACCTTCTTTGAATGATCTACATGCCTTGTTTGGTTGGGAATTCAACATATCCCTGATTAGCCCCCTATAATACCTAATAATGTCTTTTCCAAATTAATATGAGGAACAAATACATATGGTGGCACGAGGCATTAGCCGAAACTGTCATTAGGTTACCACGTTTAATGAATGGGTGATTATGACAACAAACTGAGTCTTAAGAGCACACAGATAAGGCCTACAGAATTGCTTGAGCTACATGGGTATCAGAAAATCTTGTGGTGCAAATAGTTTTCTTGGATAAAATCTTCTCAGTGATTAGAAGGAAAGTGTTACACCAAACCATGCACATAAGTGTTCATGGTTTGATCCCATAACCAGGTCACTAGTCCTGAATTGAGTGATTCTATTAGTCATTTATTACCTTTTTTTTAAATTTCAACCCTTCTTTTTTAGAGACTCGTACTATGGTGGATTGATTCTTAGGTTATTTCATAAATTTTTTCATTCAAATGTGGAAAAAAAAAAGTAGAAAAGATCTGAGTTACTCGAACTCGACTTAGATTTGATTTCTTTTGAGTTTGACTCGAGCTTGTTTATTTAAAAAATGATTCGAGTTCAAACAATTTTTTATGCTCGTTTCTTCGACTCATTTTAGGCTCAAGTTTATAAATTTCGACTCGTTTATATGTAAATAATCAAGTTATTTAAACTCATTAAAAAATAAGTAANTGACTCATTTATATGTAAATAATCAAGTTATTTAAACTCATTAAAAAATAAGTAAAACTTAAACATTTTTTCAAAATGGACTCGTTCTGACGCAACTTGAATTTTGGCAGGCTTTTGGCGGTTTACGTTTTCAAACANCGACTCGTTTATATGTAAATAATCAAGTTATTTAAACTCATTAAAAAATAAGTAAAACTTAAACATTTTTTCAAAATGGTCTCGTTCTGACGCAACTTGAATTTTGGCAGGCTTTTGGCGGTTTACGTTTTCAAACAAAGCCCAACCCAACCTAACATATATTTACTAGTAGTTATTATTGCGCTAACCGGGTTGGACCACAAATGTATCCGATCTCGACCGAACAAAAAACAAATACTAGAGAATCGGGTCGATAGAGGTCCGGATCAGTATATATAACTCTGCGCAAGTTTGCAGTGCAAGCCCAAGAAACCTTTCACTGCTATTTTCCTTCGAATTTTCGACATTTGTAAGTTCTGAGCGCAATCCTTACGATCGTCGCCATCTTTCTGCTATAAAAAGGTATAATCTGCAGTTCATCTCGATATCTTAGTCTCATAATAGATCGTAATTTGTTGCTATCTTCATTAGATTAGGGCTTATACGCAAGCTCTGTTGGGTCGAAATTATAAATCGGCATTTGTTGTCATTTGTGGAGAATTGATTAATCCTAGGGTTTGAATTTGAATTCTTGTGAACTAGGGAAGGTATTTTGATTTGCTCGCTAGCTGGGTCATTTGTTTATTGTCTGGTTGGTTGCTGAGATAATCGGTCAAAAAAGAAAGAAATAAGTTTTCAATGTCGGGGCTTGTTTTATTTATAAATTAGTCATAAAATCGACGAAAGGTTTTGGGTTTTCTACGTGGGGGTCTAATGAGGTGAATATATTGTTGGCCTTTGTGAATAACTATGTAATTTCTGGCTGAATACTAAAGCAAGTGCTATTATTCAATTGTTTTAGTGTTGTATATTTTCTTTCCGTAGGTTCTAATGATGAAGATTGACTTTAGTGGGCTTGAATCAGCTGTTCTGCGTAGTTGTCCAAACAGTGAGTTGTTTGATGGGATTTCAACCACCCCTTCATTCCAGATTCCGAGTACTACTGATGTGAGTCTTAATTGTTTGTTTTTAACTTTGATAATCCTATTTCTGTGAGAGGAAATTAAATATGTAGCATGTTTTGTTATTTTTTATCTTTGTCCTTGTTCCAGTTTGATGGATTTCAGAAAGAAGCTATCCAAATGGTGAAGCCAGCAAAGGGGACTACTACTCTTGCATTCATTTTTAAGGAAGGCGTGATGGTTGCTGCTGATTCTCGTGCCAGCATGGGAGGCTATATCTGTATGCACTTCATTTTGCTGCACTGGTTCCTGTTTTGAATACCGCATGACATGATTGTGTATATTTTTCTGACTATTTGTGCAATGGACTGTTTTACTTCCTACCTAATATGTATGATGAATTTTGTGATATACAAAACATTTCACAAAGAGAGGGTGGATGTAAAATTGTAGTTGTCTAGTAAAATCGTTGTTCACTATCAACTTATGCATACTAAAACTTCTTCGTGTATGCCCAACTTGTATATAGCTTTAGTTTTGCTTGTGAATAGGGCTAACTAGTCATTGTCTTGGGCTCATTAAGAGAGTCTTAGACTTTAGAACATTGCATTTAAAAGTATTACTTTTAGTTCTTTGAAGTGATAAAATAAAATAAAATATTCCTCTTAAAATAAAAGTATTTCCAATGCAGGTGACATGAGTAACACAGTAAGTTAGGTTTGATATATAGAACCATTATAGACAGTTTATAAAAATTTGGTGAACCTTCTATTGAATTAGGAATATGGCAGGTTCAAAAAAGGGAATCTGAGTGTTGACAACAGTGAGATAATCTGAGTAGGGTGTTATGAATAAGAGTATAGGATAAAAATTAAGACTACTGTGGGTGATCTATGAGGAAGGGGAGGGACCATTGCACAAACTATTGTTCAGACTTCCTTAATTGGTGAAAACATCAGAAATTATGTTTTTGGAGAGGAACCTTGAATGAAAGAAAAAAACTCTAAAGAACTAGTATGTGAAATTTATCTTTTGCTGAATGTAATAAATAATGGAGAGATTACTTGAAATTGAGGAATTGGGTAGCCTTCTAGTGTGATGTTTGATCCTCATTAGAATGGAGAAAAATTGAAAATGTGTTCTTTGTTGAAGTGAGCTAGCCAAAATGCCTAAGTATAGGATGAATATAGGAAGAGCCCTCTGTGAGAGTTTCCCATAATAGGACCAAGGACTTGGAACCACCTTGGGAATGCGGAGAGATGTCATGAATTTTTATTTTTATATTTTATATGATTTTTTTTTGGAGTAGGCTGAAATAAATTTTAGATGGCTAATGCCTCTTTCTGGGGTTACTGCACCATGCCATGGTATGGCCGAAAGATTCCATGGTTTTGCTAAGATGGACAATGAAGTGGCATTTTACAGTGCTGGTAACGGGCATAATAATAGTGCTGTAAAAGAAACAAAAACCATGCAAAAACAAGAAGTATTTGTTGATTGGTCCTTTATTGTGAGTTGTGAGGGACAAGTACCATGTATTTATGTTATCTGAAGAATGCATATCCACATAGTTTGCAGCTTATATTTTGTCTTTGATTATGTCATGTCTGCCTTGATGTTCCGTTTGTGGAAGTTTAATTTGTTTCCTTTGTTCGAACATCTTTTGACTCTTCTGGTTTAGGATACTCTCATCATCTTGTGACAGGCTTCCTGTTTTGGATTTATTAAAACAAAATGTCTACACAGCTTGTATACAAAGGGTTAGGATGCCTTAGTGGAGCCAAATCACTATGATTTTATGGAATATGGACTGAATTTACTATCTTTATCTTGTTTTTTATACTGTGAAGTTGAATTGTTCTAAACTGAAAACTAATCAATTAGAAAATAATGAGTTACCCCATGATTTAAGTTATATGTGGTGACTATGAGGCCGTCCATCTTTTTAATGACAGGACTATATTACATGCTAGGAAAAAAAATTATATATAAGCATGGACGCAAGGTTCTAATCTCATCACCATCCCATAAAGTTGAAAGTACGAATAACATTTCTGCATGCACCTTCATGCTACAAGTTTTAATCGTATTTGGCTTCTTGAAAAAGCATACCAGATTAACTTCCTTTATTTTGATTTTTCCAGCATCACAATCTGTGAAAAAAATCATTGAAATTAATCCATACATGCTTGGCACAATGGCTGGAGGAGCTGCTGACTGCCAGTTCTGGCACAGAAATCTGGGCATCAAGGTTATTAACCTATTTGTTCTCTCTGATCAGGATTAGTGCATTTGATGTCATTTACTGTAAACCTGGAAGAAGGTAGAAATAGCTGATTTTTGTAGGTAGAACTATGCCTATGTATGTGTGCTTGCTGATAAATGAAGGTGATTCGGAAGATATATGTGCTCTGGAAAAAAAAAAATCCCTTAAAATGGTTCTGATTTCACTAGTTTTACTCTTATTTTATCACATTAACATATTCTTATCTTCACTGGCCAGCAAAGGAAGCTCAAATTGTGATGCATACAGAGTTCTCTTGACATGTCAAGTGGATTTTTTTTATGTTGGCACTCTCTTTGTTTTTATTATTTGGTTATTTCACAGGCATGCTCCGTTGTAAACACCCCACAAAAAGGATGTTGCCCTGCACCTAGCCTTGATACTACCATTGGAGTCAACTAGTCATTTGATTTATATTGAATCAAGTTTGTACATATATTTTGTCTGTCTTTGTCAGAGTTTATTAAGATTACCTGAAATGTGTCCCTTCACTTTGCAAGCTAACCCAAAGGAAAAGAAAAGAACAAAGAAAAATTAAAAGCAGTAAAACTCGTGTCAAACAACTCCTTTGCAATTTTTGGTGGAGATCATTATGCTTGAACTATGTGCATCCAATCTGTGCACTCTTCTATCATGTAAGTTCTTCAATCAGCTGCGCTAATTTAATACCATGTGTTGTTCAAACAATATCTTGGCCATCCATTCATGGTTGAGTTCAAAAATTGGCCAAGAGAACTGAAAGGGGAAGGAAAAAAAGGAAGGGGGAGGATAAAAAGAAAGAAAGAAGAGGGGGGGGGGGGGGGAAGACCCTATATATTTCTTTTATCTATTTGTTTCTCACTTGCTCTTATAGAGTAGTATTTACAACTTTCCAAATTTTTTATAGTTGTAATATATATGTTTACTGCTTTACCACTTTAGATAACAGCTGTAGAAATTACTGAGCTTGANTGCTCTTATAGAGTAGTATTTACAACTTTCCAAATTTTTTATAGTTGTAATATATATGTTTACTGCTTTACCACTTTAGATAACAGCTGTAGAAATTACTGAGCTTGACTAGAAGGGACTGTACTTAAGGAAGTGAGTAGCCTAATATACTATGGGTGCTCCATTCCCAGATTTGGAAGGCAGCCCAATTACTTAGTTGTTGTGTGTAACAGTAGAGTTGTCCAATCATCCTGCCTTTTAATACCATCTGACTATCTAGTTGCACTAAAGTGTTTGATAAGGTGCGAATTGGGCAGTGCATATTTTAATTATAGTTTTGGCATTCAGGAACTTGTGATTTGCAATGTTTTGGATTATTCTTCTGCAAGAGCTAATTTATAATTATCATGCATACACCAGTGCCGCTTACATGAACTGGCGAACAAGAGACGAATTTCAGTTACTGGGGCTTCAAAGTTGCTGGCAAATATTCTTTATTCTTATCGTGGAATGGGTTTGTCTGTTGGAACCATGATTGCTGGGTGGGATGAAAAGGTAGTGACAACCGAATATTGTAGCATGTCCTTGTCCTGCATCCATTTGACTTTTATATTCCTTTTGTCTTGTGGGTGTAGGGTCCTGGCCTGTATTATGTGGACAGTGAAGGAGGACGGCTGAAAGGAACAAGATTCTCAGTTGGATCTGGTTCACCATATGCTTATGGTGTACTGGATAACGGGTGTGTGCCCCCTTTAGTATATTCTTTCTTCATTATTCCAAATATGGTTTCTGTGTCCGTTGTGGAGAACCACTTTGCACAGTATCTGCTGGAGAGTGGTCTTGTGTGCAAAATTGTTGCAGATGGTAAAAGAAAGAGCATGTTGCTAGTTTGATTAGAGAAGTGAAAACTCATTGAAATGCCTGAATGCTTCTGGGAAAAAGTTTTATTGTGATCTTCCTGTGTTCATACTTCTTTCTCTGCAGTTCAGCATACCAACCTTTTTTAATTGGTCCTTTCAGGACAAAAGAAAAGGGGGAAGGAGGGAAAATGGGAAAAGGGGTGATTGGGGAAGAAGAAATGTGCCCTGATGTTGTCGTTTGGGCTTTAGTATTTATACGCCTCTATTCTGCTCTTGGACAAATTGGTGGAAAGTGACTAACCACCCTCTGGGAAGCAGTATTATACAAAGCAATTAATCATATAGCTTACTAGTTCTCCAGTCACAATGACAATTGGCATGCTGCAATATAACTGTATGTATGCTTTATTTTCATCTTTTGGAAGCTTGGAGGCAAAGTTTCTTCCAAATCTACCATGACCCTCATTTTGTCAGCATTTACTACTGCTCTATGCCTTTTTCCACATGTTTCTTGTATATGTCTAGGAAGTTTCATTTAGAGCACCTATTTTGTTTCTGTATTCTTACACATTCTTGTTTGGTTGTCATTTGTCAATCTGCTAGGTACCGTTATGATATGTCAGTTGAAGAAGCGGCAGAGTTGGCTAGACGAGCTATTTATCATGCAACATTCCGAGATGGAGCCAGTGGTGGAGTTGCTAGTGGTATGCCCTCCCTTGTCTCCCGTGTTGTGTGTTTGTGTGCACGTGCGTGCCTCTATGATTGATTTACTCATGACTTTGGATTTGTCATCAGTTTATTACGTGGGACCGGAAGGATGGAAGAAGCTATCAGGTGATGATGTTGGAGAACTTCACTACATGTATTATCCAGTTGAACCAACAGCAGTGGAACAGGAAATGACTGAAGTGTCTGTGGCCTGAGAATCACAAAGGGATATTTGCTGTAATGTTTTTCTTAAATACATGGAATCACTTCCATCCTTAATTTCTAGACACCCGAATTTAACCTGGTTTTGCTGGTATCATTTTGTGTCTGGTTATGAAGTTTTTAACTGCGTTGCCTGATAGATTAGTTTTCCATGTTTCTGATGTTCCCTCTCTCCTGTGTGTGAGTTTTTGACCAGGCTTGAAGCGATTTTGGACCCCCCCTTTCCCTTTCCCTTTTCCAGAGAATTGTCGAGTTCATCTCACATATAACACCATATCAATCATTTTAATGCAGAAAGAAGATAAGACCAGGAACATAACAAAAACAGCCCAAGGACTTGGCCACACTTGGAAGTACGATCACGACGTATTTATTTCATGTACTCTTGACACATTTTCTTTTCAAATTGATAATTATGTTTCAGGAAACCTCTAGGCAGCANGTACGATCACGACGTATTTATTTCATGTACTCTTGACACATTTTCTTTTCAAATTGATAATTATGTTTCAGGAAACCTCTAGGCAGCATTCAAAGTGTTCCCGACGTCAATTACAAATCGGCATTTGACATCACCTTTTGCAAGAGGTTCCATGGTAGTGTTAACATAGTCCGTTTTAATAACTTCAATGTATGCTGTTATGTTGTGATTTGCTGCAAAATCGATCATTTCTTGTGTCTCCTTTAAGCCCTCAATACAATTACCAACGACTATCTTTCTCCCTAAAAGCAAAGGCAAGGCTGGCAACTCGAGCGACTTGTTTGGTAATCCGAGGAAGACCAGTATTGAACGAGACTTCAGGAGTCCAATCAGTGGGTGAAGGGGGTGAATTGTAGAGATGGTGTCAATAATGCCATCCATTGTGCGCATTGCAGCCTTCATCGGCTCTTGGTCACGACTGAACAAGAAAGAATCTGCACCTAGATAATCAATGGAGTCGTTCTTCTTATGAGAAGAGGTGCTGATCACCGTCACTTTAGCCCCAAAAGCCTTAGCAAACTTTATAGCTACATGGCCTAACCCTCCCAGTCCCACTACACTAACATGAATACCAAGCTTATCGAGTCCAAAATATTTCAGAGGGCTGTAAACAATAATCCCCCCACATAGGAGAGGGGCACCAGCAACGAGAGGGAGGCTCTCAGGCATGTGAACATCAAAATGTTCATCAGCAGCCATGGTATCAGAAAAATGTCCATATGTGATAGTTCCATCATAGTAGGTGGAATTGTAGCTTAGTACAAGTCTAGGACAATAATTCTCAAGATTGTCAGCACAGTTGTCGCACGAGTGACATGCATCAACCAGGCAACCTACACCAACTCTGTCTCCAACCATGAATTTTTGTACATTGGAATCCACCTCTGTCACAACCCCCACAATTTCGTGCCCAGAGACAAGAGGATACTGGGACACTCCTAATTCATTTTTGATGAAGTGAAGGTCAAAATGACAGATTCCACAATATAACACTTTGTGTCACACCCCCGCTCCGAATCACATACGGTGGGCGGCGATCGGCCACCAAAACCTTAACCAATCAACCTTGTGTATAATAAATGTAAAATACAGCAGAAGATAAATAAAAAAGTGATCTAATCTATCAACCTAATGAATATCAGAAGAATAAACTAAAAATCATCAACATCATTACTAAACTCATGTAAAATAATAATCAAATTGTAAGATTCACTGCTCCAAACATGAGTAACATTGTTCCCAAAATAATTAAATATCTGTCTCAAAACTACAAAAGACATTTATTTATGAAGACCTACAATAACATAAATCTTCCAATCCTCTAATCCATTGTCTCTCTGTGGACTTACTCCTCACCCTGATTCTTACCTGAAAAATGTTAAATATTTGTATGAGCACAATGACCCGTGAATAGCAACAACCTCTAATGAGGTGTGAAAATAAATTTCACAATTTATATATAAAAATAAACTTTGATACATACATAAGTACAACAAATTGTACCCCAACTCCTCTCACATAATCATTTAAACAAAATGATCTCATGATCACAAATAACTTTATAAATAAAAAGACATTTATAACCCAAAACACCACTCATTTTCACAAATAACTTTATAAATAAAAAAATATTTATAACTCAAAACACTCACATACACATTCAGTTCCAAACATATATGTCAAATCATGTTTGTTACCACTAGTTTGGTAACTAGCTCCATCTCTTGTTATCACTAGCTCGATGACTGGCCCCTATGTGCACATCTCTATACCGATCACACTGGTATATAATCTCGTTACTATTTAGATCTGGTAACTCATTTCCCGTCTCATAAAACATGATTTTCACACACCAAAACTGTCATTTTAGTCTCAATGCACACAAAATATTTCTTTCATCACCAAAGCAATGATATAAAATCATCCCACAAGTTTTTCAAAAATTCACATTTATAATAGTTCACAATTGCAAAACATTTAATTGCAACCTCAAATATCAACACATATATCATATATATGAAAAATTCCCACGCACTCACCCACACATTTAATATAAAAAATTCTTCCAAAAGAAGTAGTAAACTACTCACTTTGATTTTCAAAATCCAATTCAAAGCCCTCTTTCTCAACTTCAATGCAATCACCATCTGATCCAAAATAACGTATATGATGGGACATTTTCAGACACTCCAAGATAAGCAACACGTGTACTCGACGTCAAGGAAAATACTCTCTATTGTGGTCACGACACGTGCTCGTCGGGCTATGGTCCCCCTTCCCCCGAGGAGGGTACTAGGCATAAGGACCTACGACACTGGTATGCACAGGGGGTTCGACACGTATTCCTCGGTCGAATAGGGGGTACGTCGGTCCCTAACCATACTAAGCCCTCGGCACCGAGGTGTATCCGCTACATCGGCTTTCTGTTCCTACAAGGTTGTTGATAGACAGGACATCAGCCTGGGCTAGTCTAGATTAGCCATCATGACCTGGTCCTACTTAGATGGTGTCAGAACGCACAGGAAAGTAGAGGACTCAACCAAAAGGGAGCCGACGCGTGGCATATTGTGTCAGTTCAGGGACAAAAAGACCAGAACGCCCTTGCTGACACACGACTTGGGAAAACAAGTATTTAATGCACATTTTCCTTGATGAGACAACATTTAACGCGTAATGACGAGAAAGTGAAAGGCAATAAATGCTCTTGTGACTGAGCATTTAATACATCCCTGCAGAGTGAGGGTCATTAAACGTTCGACAGACCGAGGGTGATGCATTGGTTGCTCGGGATCCCGAGCAGTTAAGAAAGAGGTCATTTCTCCTAAAGACTAGTATGCACGTTACCCACCTCTAATGATCACCTACTGACCACACTGACATCAATCATGAGTTTTGAAGGTATAAATACTCCTCACAAAAGGCAAGACGGTACGCAAAAATCTTTTCTCAAACCTATACACAGTGTTTTTTTCTTCCCCTTTCTCAAAGAACTAACTTGATCGTCGGAGGGGATAAGTCAAAAAACACTCCGGCACCCTTCTAACTTGTTTTTCTCTGTTTCAGGAACCTCCCTCAACCTTACTGGACCGCTCCGATGACCCACAAAAGTCACCCATTATCGTTTCAGGCTACCACTGGATCTCACACTTTCCAAACAACAAGGCTGATCATTCGATTGACTAACTCGTGTTCACCACGGGAGAGATCTGTTCTTGTGTGTATATTGTGCAAGATTCTGCACGCACAATTTGGCGTTGTCTATGGGAAACGACTAGTTTTCCTAGTTTCTTATCTAGAAAGGACAGTGACCATGGTGAATACTCGACAGAAAGGGAAAGGTCTCCAACAAAAAAGTCTCGATTTACAAGCTCCTCGTCATGATGGAGGGAAGGGTCACGCTGATGACAATAAAAATGTCTCTAGTCAGTCAAGGGGGCTTACTCCTCAAACTAGTATGGGCATCAGGTCAGGAGAATCCACCCCTTTGGCTCGTCAACTGGCAGAAGTGATCGAAGAAAAGTTTGGGGATCGATTACGACAGTTGAAAAAAGACAATGTGAACGTCCTAAGCCGGCTCAACGAATTCGCCACCTCTGGCGAAGGGTCGAGGGACTCGTTCCCTTCTCGTGGAATCCCCGCCCGAGAAGCAGAAACTGAGGACCTGAGGAATCATTTAAATAACAAGGCTGAAGGCTCTAGGGCCCGAAACGCCTAAGAGCCAACAAACACCCTCTCGACGATCATTCCAGGAAGGCAAGACCTTTAGCCCTGGACGACCTCCGACGAGGACTGTCAAGGCGGAGGAAGGGAGACGAGTCCGAGGAGGATTCAACCCTTTCCACGTGACGCCCGAAAAAGGGGAGCCCCGTCAATGAACTCGGAGACCTTAGAAGACATCCATTTTGGGTGAAAACTGATCTTAGAGCTCGATTGGAATCCAGGAGAAAGGNAGGAGCCCCGTCAATGAACTCGGAGACCTTAGAAGACATCCATTTTGGGTGAAAACTGATCTTAGAGCTCGATTAGAATCCAGGAGAAAGGGCAGGACTGTCTAGGATGACGCTGAAGACGAGACCATACAATCGCCTTTTGTCAGGGATATCCGAGAGATGGAGGTACCAAGGAAGTTCGTAGTGCCAAGATTTAAAACTTACGATGGGCGATCAGATCCCGAAGCTCACCTCAGGCAGTACAAACAAATGATGTCCCTGTATCATTCGAACCAACAGCTCCTCTACCGAGTGTTTTCCATGAGCTTGAGGGACTCCGCAATGAAGTGGTTCGAGGCTTTTCCCCCCAACAGCATTGGATCATGGAAAGAGTTGACGAGACAGTTCCTAGCCCGATTCATTACGGGGAGTAAGTGGCCTAAAGATGTTGGGTCATTCGGGGAGTAAGCGGCCTAAAGATGTTGGGTCATTACTGATGCTTAGACGGAGGGAATCCGAGACCCTTCGCCAGTATGTCATCCGGTACTGGAAAGAGGTTAATGAGGTGCAGACGTGTTCGAAAGTCATGGCAGCGGCATCTTTCAGGCTTGGCTTGGCAAGGGACACGAACCTATATCGATCCTTGACTAAAAAGACTCCCTCGGATTTGGGCGAGTTGATGGCCCAGATAAACAAATACTCTAGGATCGAAGACAAAATGGGAAGCAGCAAAGACAGAGCCCTCCCACCTAAGAGAAAAGAGATGGAGCGAGAGGATAC